ACATTTATTAAGTAGAGGATAAATTTCAAGTGCCACTGCTTCAAAGTGCCTGTGACTTGGGGAGCTGCCTAGTGGAATCAATTAGGGATGTACATATCAGAAATATCCCTCTGTCTTCTCTGCATATCCTCCCCTCAGATATCAGTGTTGATACCACAGAGAGTTTTGTCCCTAAAGGACAAATTATAAAGACAGTAGAAAGAAAAGGAGCTGGAAAAAGTGAATAGGACACAAGGATGCTCTTGTACAAGTAGAAGATAGAAAATTCAGATGGTTAAGGCAAAGAAAATGAACAAGGGAATACTCACAAATGTTGACATAAAAAATGGTCAAAAGGACAACACTGAATGTTATTATTTTAAGCTTTGCGTGGAGTTAAGTGGAAGGGCTTTGGCTATGGTGGTGGGTTTGGATGTGCTAGCTGAGACTCCTTTCACCCCAGCTTTAATATCCAAAAATAAAGTTTGTCTGATAGTGTGAGCTGTCAATTGAGCCTGCTTTTCAAGAGAAAAGGAGAGAAAGAGACACACCTCCCTCCTCACATCAGAGCAAGGCAAGATTAATCCTTTCCTGTCAGTGAAGAAGGAAACAAGCTGAGCTGGATGCAAGCCTGGGGCAGGACAAGCCTCCATCCCACACATGTGCCTGGCCTGACAGGGGTTGTGTCATCTCGTGCCAATACACAGTGTCAACCCAGCTTTGCAGCTTATATTTAATTTAGTTCTTGCTCTATACATTGATGTTTGAGCTTGTTAATCTACCTGACCCATCAAAACCTGCAAGAGCTGCTGCCTCCTCTGAGCTTTTTCACTGCTTTATCCAGAGTTTGAAGTGGAGATGGTGAATTCTAAATTTAGAGTGACTTCAGCAGCACGCAGCGTCTACTCGTGCTTGCACTCCACTGTCTGAAAAGATGATGACCAAACCAAATCCAGATTTCCTTTTAATCTGGCCTATTTTAAATCAAACTGCAAAGAAAGATACTAAAGCTGCTACTGTGAAACGTGCTGCCCCATGAATTAGTAATTGTGTCTATCTTCTACATTGGGGATTTTTTGCCTGTGTTGCTGTTTTCTTACTGCCACTCAAAGTGAGGAGCTTTTATTTGAATGAGACTGTTTCAAAACATCTTTACACTCATGTAGAGTCAGGGACTTATTTACTTTCTGACAGTTATTTACTTCCTGTAAATATTTCACAGCCACAGGATCTCCCAGATGAAAGCAGAGTTTGCTCTGTGCTCCTGTTCTGGAGTCTAATTAAAAACGGAATAAAATGGGAGGGACGGAGCTAAAGTGCTAACTGCCATGGATGTGTCTAGGGGAATTCAGCAAGGGAGCCTGCTTCTTGGCACAACTATTGAAGCATAAAAACAGAGAAAAAATGCCCAACACAGAACTGAAAGCCCTGAGATGGATGAGAGGAGAGGCTTTCAGGGACAGGAGAGCCGACACTGCTCCTGTACAAACTGTCTGCTGCCATCACTGAAAAGTTGGTCCTTGTTGCTATTTCACATCACCAAAGCCAGACCCCTCCTTTGGCTTCAGTACCCCTCACACAGCACAGAACTGAAGTCACCAGCAGCATCTCCATGTGCCTGCATCCCCACCAGCCCAGAGCCACCACCACAGGAACAAGGCTTCTGCATCCTGGAAAGCTGAGGGCACATCCTCACCTGGGGTAGGTCACTAATGTCACTGATGTACAAATACACCTTAGTACCTATAGAAGTTATAGGACTTTTAGCAAAATTGGTACTTTTAGCAGAATTGGTACTTTCTCCAGCATGTTAATCACTACAGCAGAATGTTTGGCACTGCAAAGGACTCCATGCCTATGCTACTTTTATATTTGGATAATTTCCCACACTCACTGCTCCAGAAAAAGCCAGGGACTTCAAAGTGATCAAATAAAGAATAAGAAAACAAAGATCAAGCATTACTTTCCCTGGCTTTTTTTTTTTTTTTTTTTTGTCAGAAATGACTTGTTTGCTGTTGGTTAAGGAAAGATTACTTACCACAGCTGTGTAGAGGGCAAGGATAAATTGCTAAGGGCTTTGAGTGAGGATTTTTCACTTAAAAGAGTGCATTTGGAGACAAGGGAGATTATGAAAAATCCTTTAACATGATCCTCAAGCTATCAGACTGTTTAACATTATTGATCAGTGCAGCCAGAGCACATTTTAAAAAAAAATCTATCAGATTAAAATGGAAATAGATTTCTTGTTCTGATTTCTCATAAACTTCATTTCACTTTGCATCAGGGATCTTCTCTGAAAGAGGAGCAAGTCCCCAAGCCAGAGGTGGTGGCCCTGCCAGGAATATGCTGCCCTACATCTCTGCCAGCTCATTCTGCCTTGGACACAAACACAGGCCCAGCAACCACAAGTGTGTGATGGTTCTGTTTGAACAAAAAAAGGGCCATTTTTCAATAAAAACCCTAAACCTAACACCTCAAATAAAAAGAGACATCTCCTAACAGCTCATTGCTGCAGGAATCCTATTTAATAAGAAGGAACATGATTTGGGTGTGTTTTTTAAGTACCCTTCTTTTTTAATACCTTCTTTATAAGTCAAAATATATGCAGATTTGATTGATGTCATCCAGCTGAAGAGCAAAGCTTTCATCTCCAAAGTGCCCATGATGGGGATCACAATTCTGTGGATTTTGTGTGCAAAATAAATAAAAAGAAGGACTTTTCCTTCAAATTAGTACCCCAGAAGTTGTCAGCAATAGTAGTAAACAATAGAAATTATTTGTATTAATAGCTATGTTTATTCTAATGATGTTGGCATTTTCTGTGAAGATTAGTTGGCAATAATGTTGCAAATACTATTACAAGGGAAATATGCACTATAAACCTAAAATAATTTGACTGACCTATGTTCTGAAGTAAAATATTTACGGTAATGAGATTCTAATTATCCCTTGTTATGGCAGACCATTCTCCACACTCCTCTTTATTGATAGGAGATGTATTGTTTCAGCATTTTAACTCAATTTATTTTCTCACATTTGCATTTTCTTATGCATGGAAAATGAGAGATGATCATTACCTTCTTCACTTTGCATTCAATTTACATCAACAGCACATTACCTCATCCTAACTCATTTATCTACCACAGAAATTTGATAACAAAAGCTACTGTCAGTGATGAATAAAGATTGTTTCAAATGAAGCAAGAAGAAACAAGATGAATTATAGGTTTCAGGACCTTTTGTTTGCTCAAGAAAGGGAAGATAAAGGATTTTTTCCACCTAGGCAACACGGATCTCACGAGGCTTTAACTCACATTCAGAATCTTCTATTTACCTGCAGCTGATCAGTCTGTGTTGTATACAAAAGTAACTCCAAATACCCATGCAACCATAAATGTCTCTCCCATTTGCTTCATGAAGGAACATTCTTAATTTTTTGGACTGAGTGCACAGAACTTATGGTTCATAAGCTCAAGCAAACACTTGAACAACTACCCAAGGATTATTGTAACCTCATAGAAACTAATAGCTCTCCAGCCTGGAAGACACTTCTCTGGGTGGTGTTTGCCTGCTTGTGAACACTCACAGCACCATGAAGCACACTGTGGGATACCCTTGCACTGACAACAGCAGAATATCCATCTTGCTTTGCTGGAAACTAGTGAAACCTACCAGATCCCCTCTTCCAGCTCCCCTGCTTTAACAAGCCATCAGAGCCTTGAGGTTCTTGCTGCTTTTCCCAAGCCTAGTACTAGAGCTAAGCCAATACCAAAAGGCAATAGCATAACCAGCACATTACAAATGGAGTTCTGCTTTAAAACATCTCTGTCTAAGACTTTTTGGTAGCTGGGCAAGCCCCAAATGTGCACAGGTACAATGATGGATTCCAGTTCTGCCCTGTGCATGGTGAAGTGGGGGGAGAAGCAGAAACTTGGAAGCAGGTTTTGAGGAACAGGTTATTGGTGGAAAGCCCACAAGCACTCCCTGGAGTGGGAGGAATGATTTTGTCTTACATTCCTTACAGCTCCCCAAAGGAGGGAGGTCAGGGGGACAGTTTTGGCTTTTCCAGAAGTTTATGTTTCATTTATCTATTTTTTTTTACAATAATCAGTGTTTTCCCAAAAGCAATTACTCACCTTGAAATAGGTCTTCATACTGAGGGAAAGTCAGAAGAAGGGAAGAGATGGGGTTTAAAAGTTGTAAGTAACCCTCCACTAAATATGAATGCTTTCATGCAAACCCTCACCCTTTCTTTTCTGTATGAAAACCTACTATTTTTCCTATTTCCCTCATCTTCCCTTCCTTTGAGTGTACTCTTTGGCCAGTGTGGATCAGGAGCAGCCTGTAGACCTACCCTGGGCAGAGGCTTCTCCACAGCCAGGAGCCTGCCTGCTCTCCCTGCTCCAGAATGTCACTTCTCAGCACATCCCTACACCAGCCAGTGTCCAAGCCACCGAGTAGCAGGTTCCTTCCTGCAGCCTCAGGTACAGGACCTAGGAAACTCCCTATGTGTCCAGGGTTTGCCCCAGCAGACCTGGATAATGGACCAGTCACCTCACTTCATCCAGGTTTTTAATTAGGTAACCCATCCTGGTTGACACAGCCTTGCTCCAAGGATGCCTGGTCTCTGAGAGGGAACATTATCTGTAGAGTCATCTTCAAGGGAATTGCACCTGCTCTTTTTGATGAAACATGGACTGTGGTGAAGTCTTTGAAAATGCTACTGTTGACTTTCATATGGTCAACATCCCCTGGGTAGGAATGGGAAATTCAGTGCTTTAAAGAAGTTCTCTGAAGCTCAATTAAGTTATTCTTGAGCTACACTCAACCCCTACACATGGCAGTAATATCCCACACAGCAGAAGACGAGCCCAAGGACTGCAAAAACCTGGCTTGTTTCTTGCACGTGGACGTGCCCCCTCCAATAGCACCCAAGCTGTCATTTCAAGCTTCAGCAATGGCACATCTGGGGACCTTAAATTAAAGGGTTACCCAGAGTCAATAAACAGCCACTTGCACTTTGGAACTATTGACTGAGCTCCACCACACGAACAAGTTGTCAGCGAGAGGTCTGGGCGGTGGGAAGAAGATGGCAAATATCCCCCTCATACTCTTCATTTGTCTTCTGGCAGCTTGTCTTGGTGATGAAAGTACAGGTGAGTCCATTTAAAACCTAGAAAATCCTTCACTTTTGGGTACTGGGTGTTACAGACACTGGCAAAGAGAGTTTGTCACTTGACAGTGGGACAGCTTGTGCAGTCTTATAAGAGAGGACAGCTCAGAGGGATTGCTGCATTTCATAGCTCCTCCTTAAAGCTCTGGTTCTTTTCTTGGGAATGAAATAATAGTTTTTATGCTGATTTTACACAGACTGTGTCACAGGGATTAATTTTAAGAATGGAATTTTTCTTAGCTTTTTTTTGCAGCTTTTAAGCTTTCAGAGCTTGATTCAGCCATTTTAGAATGCACACACATACACACACACAGAAGCTAAAAAGGGGAGACAGTTGCTCACGGAGTAACATCCACACATCTTTGTGCGCCATCACTTTGTCCTGGAGTACAAACAAGTGCTCACATCCATAAAACAGTCATTGGATTTGCCACTGCAAGGATTGTTTAAAGCTAAGCCCAGCGTGAATTTAACAAAGACTGTAAGATGCAGCCAAAACTGTAGACAAGATAGAGCAGTTGATGGATGTGGGCAATCACACATAGTAATGCAGGCTGTTGCTTGATTTATCTGTAGCAGCAACAGTTCCAGCAGAGTCTGGTTCACATCCAGTGTGAGTTCTTGTTTGCTGCAAGGCTGGTCTTTCTTCTTTCATTAAAGCATTGCTAGTACCAGGTTAAAAAAAGGTTCTTTCCAAAATGTTTGCTAAGCAGTGAAAAGTGAGCAGAACCTCATATTGGTACCACCACCCACTCAGGTGTACCCACTATAAAATACAGTACTCAGCTGGCAGGACAGGTGTGCCCCCCCCAACACTTGGCCCAGAGACTCATCTTACCCTATCAGATACTGGTTCAGAAGCTGGTAAATCATGTGTGAGTGTATTCTTAGTGTGAGGATGGTCTCCAGCCAGGTGAGCGCCATTCCTGTCACCCCATGGCGCCTGCAACCTTCAGTCCAAATCAAGTTTTGATTGTAAAGCAGCATGTGGGATGAGTAAGCAATGGAGAAAACCTAGAGGGATATGAGGGAAGGTAAAACTGCATTCATTAAAATGAGTTCCCTCCATTAAATGGGTTAATTACAGCAGGTGCCTGGCACATCCACTGGGAAGAGAAGGAGCATGCCTGACACAGCTGCCTCACTCCATGCAGGGTAATGTCCAGCTGTGCCCACACCATGTTCCCTGGGCACTGAGCACGTGGGGAGCCCAACAGGGTGACAAAACCAAAGAAGGCTGCTCCATCATTCCCACCTGAGCCTTTCTAGCCCAGCTTGGGGTCAAGCTGGAGGCTGAAGCCCATGCCAAGAGGAGAAGAGGGCAGGTCTCCCCCAGCCAGGGTGTGCAGCCACACAGCTGGGAAGGCCAACCTAGGTGTACATTCATGTCCCACACGTAAACCCTGAAGCTGGGAAGGGACCAGCAATGTTTAAAACAAGCGTGAAGGGACCAGCAATGTTTAAAACAAGCGTTGCTTCATCAGAGGTCAGTGCTTTTCATTTTAACAAAAACCACACTGGCATGAGGAAGGCAGAGGTGCAACCTTGCTGTACAATGACTAAAAGCTGTTAGTTCAGTCTCTTGCAGAAAGATCTGACAGTGAAGGGGCTTGTTACACTGTCAGTGGAATGGTGTCAATCAGACCAACCTGCCTGGGGCTCATGAGAGCTCAACAAAGCTGAGGACCTGAAGGCTTTGTGAGGTTGGGGTCTGCTCTGCATCGGGTGCGGGAGTTAGCAATGAGATGGGACAAGTGGCTGGTACTCACTCCTCACTCTCCTGTATGCCCACCTGGCTGAGCTCACGCTCTCTTTAGCCCTCAGAGGGGTCAGTCCAACAGGTACCCAACCCCCTACCAGCACAGAGCCCTCAGATGAGGGCCCGTGTCCCGGGTGGCCACCAGCAGCTCCAAGAGCTGCTCTACCGTGCCATCTGGTGACAAAAAGGGACACGCTGCGAGTGCTAAGGGAGGGTGGAGAGAGAGGAGAAGCTGGGGAAGCAAAGTGGGGAGCTCCTTTGGGCGAACAACGTGTTTTAAAGCAGTGGGATGGGGTAATAAGTCCTCAGCAGAGATGGGGTTCTCTGAGAAGGGAGTCAGAAGCAAACTCTGGCAGGAGGCTGCCACAGGATGGCAGCTGCTGTTGTCTCTGCTGATGGGACGCATGGCCCAGGAGCTTGGCCAGCCCATTGAAGGATGCACGCACCCTTGTTGACCTGACAAAGCCCAGGGGGTGAGGAAGGCTCATGCCACCCTTTCTGTCAGCAGGAAATGGTGGGACCCAGGCGCATGGGCAAGGAGGAGGAACAGGGAGAGAAGTAAATGGCCCGTCCCTTCCAAGGGCTGCAGCTGCTTGCAGAGGCAAATAGCCTTTCACAGCCAAAACAGGCAGAGGCAGCTAAAGCAGGACAATTTCTGCATCCAAACAAGACCTCACCAAGTAGCAGCATGAAAAAGCCTACTATTTTCCCCTCTCAAACAGCTTATTCCAGTCTGTGCATCTGTAATAGGAGCTACACCCTCTGCTTTGGGGTATTTTAAGCATCAAACTTCAGGGCTCCCAATCACTGTCTTGCTGTCAGTCATTTCTGTCTATTGACTATTTTGACACTTGATTCTCCAAATTTGATGCTTTGGATTGCACTTAAGTTGGGCATCAAAGAAACATCAGGTAGATGATAACACTCAGGAAATGTCCTTGGCCATGGGGCAAGAGGAAGGTGGATGCCTGAAAAGGGCTTGCCTTCTGGTAGAACAAAACCCTGACAGTCCATCCCAGCTGTACCACACGTGCTGCTCTCCAGCACCTATTTCTGTTCAAATCGCAGTCTTCATCGAGAACAAAGAGGCAAGCTCAGTTCTGCAGAGGCAAAAACGAGCCAACTCAAACAGACTAGAAGAGTTTATTCCTGGGAACCTCGAGAGAGAATGTATGGAAGAAAAATGCAGCTTTGAAGAAGCCCGAGAAGTATTTGAAAACCAAGAGAAAACGGTGAGTGTCACTGCTGCAAAATGGCAACACCTTGTTCCCCCCTGCCCACACCTCTACAAGCCCTTCAGGTGAGTCCCAGAGGGGGAAGAGGAATGAACAGCAAGGGGAAAACCTGCAGGGCCAAGAGCAGCATCTGGCATGGCTGATTCTCATTCATGATCCATCTCTTGGGCTGGGGAACTGCTTTAAAGGCTTTGTGGGTCACTATTGGGATTATGGAGGGTGGTTTCTCTGCAAGTCTTTTCCTTCAGTTTTGGAGTCATCCCTGTACTACTTCAGCCAGACAGTGCCCAGAAATTAGAAAACAAAGGAAACTTCTTTTCTTTTTTTTTTTTCTTCCCTTTGCAGATGGAGTTTTGGAAAACATACGTTGGTAAGAGCTGCTTTCTTCCTGTTCAAATGATTAATATTCATCTCTCAGTGCATAAATAGCAGATGTTATTGTAACATATGTATTCCAGCATCCAGCAACTGTTATGTCTCAGAGCCATGCACCCTAAATTCTGCAGCCACCAACAGCCTGGGTCTGTCCTGTTGGTATAGAAATGGCAAGCCACAAAAAAAAAAAAAAAAAAGTCTTAGCATTTACTTTGTTCAGATAGGCTTTTTGGAACAGACCAACATTCCTATGAATGGAGGCTCTAAAGACGGGCTGGGCTGTTTTGAACTTGTTATGACCAAAATAGCCAAAAAAAAAAAAAAAAAAANAAAAAAAAAAAAAAAAGTCTTAGCATTTACTTTGTTCAGATAGGCTTTTTGGAACAGATTTCCAAAACCTCACGGAACAAAACCAGTTCACACAGACCACAGGATCCGTTGAGCCCAGGTCACGCTCTGGGCTTCTGCTTTCAGCTGTTATAGAGTAAAACACCACAGCAATAATTAACACCCCTTCAGCAAACAGCAAATGCTCTGTTCTCAAGCAGAGGTCTCCAGATAAGGCCCAGCCTCATGAAAGCACAGCGTGAATCCCTAGAAATGCCATATTAAAGTGGAGCCTCGACATGATCACAGCGAACAGCTGTTTGCAATTCACACCATTGCTCACAAACCCTTTCTTCACTGTTTTCTTTTTCCTTTTCAGTCTCCACCTCCAAGGACTCCTCAGTCCCTTAACAAAAAGATTTCAATGCCCACTACAACATCTGAAACTAATTTTAAGGACATTTCAATAAATGAACTGCTTCGTAGATTGGCGAAGTGCCCAGAACATCTCACTAAAAAGTCTTAAATAATTCAGATTATTCAGTCCAGACTATAAAATAAAAAAGTTACATTTGCATTGTAGGACTGTCCTCTGAAAAAACAGCTGATGAAATTCAACACTAAGTTTGTTTCTCTGCCACAAATTAGCTCATAAAAAGTAAGGAATGCCATATATTCCTCTATCATCTAAAGTGCCTGATTTACTGTTCAGTTTACAAGCTGCTATTCCCAACATGTGTAGCCCACAGGAGCTCATCCCTTGCACAACATCTAAGCCCCAGTTGCCCTCACCAGGGAGCAACAACTGCAATCCTCACGTTATGTGCAACCCCCAACACCATAACTTAGACAAGACAAAACCATTTTGTTCCTGTTTGCAGTTTTACATTTCAACCCATTCCTGAAAGCACCATGAACTGCCACACTTACTGGCAGGACACAAAACTCAGCAAGGCCTTCCCCTTCCTCTGTGTCTTGGCATAAGCATTTCAAAGGGCATTCCCTGCCATTTAATATCACCGATTTACTCTTTCACAGTGTTAGATCACCAGTTTTGCAATAGTGAGTATTTTTGTTAAAGTTTCAGCTTATCAGCTGTAGGCAACTGTGAAAATAAAAGCTCTGACATGGAAGGGAAAATCTCGACCAATGAATAGTAGTACAAGACTGAGAAAGAAAGAGCAATGATGAAGGTTCTCAATCCTAATGCACAGAGAGGTCTCCAAACCCAAATGGACGGATCCAAATTTTCACAGAACAGACAGTACTGTTAAAATAATCCAGATTAAGATACTCTAACCACTCTTGAGGAAGCAAACCTTCTAAATTTGTCTGTCTAACCTGGCCAAGACACGAGGTCCTGTTGAGATGTTGCATGAGGGTGACTGAAGAGGGGTTCTACGGAAAGGAGCAGAACTGACCCACATAGGACAGGGTACACAGTTAGGACTCTGGGTAAAGAGCCGATGATGTTACCCCAGCGCTGACATTGTCAGCACACTTGGGTGCCAGGATCTGACTTATTTTTCCTTACAAAGAAGGAAGCAATGCAATGTCTTGCTCAGCTTTAGTAGAAGGCTTGCACAGAGCAAGGCTCCAGTACATGACTGGCATGAGCCATGGTGGACACTCATATTTGTTAACTCTCCTGTCTTCTCTCCAAGATGGAGATCAGTGCAACCCCAACCCATGCAAAAATGGAGCCGTGTGCAAGGACGGAATAAATTCCTATGTGTGCTGGTGCCCAGCTGGGTATGAAGGCAGAAACTGTGAGATAGGTATGTACTGGGGGCTTATCCAGTGATTGTTCTGCTCTCCTTGAAATCCCATGGGATCAAAGCGGGCGCAGAGTTTCATCCTACTGAGGAGTGTTTCAGGCACATTTTGCTTTGGGCACTGCAGAAAAGCATAAATTGAGCCTGTTGGCAATGGGATTGCAGGGGGACATGCTTGGGGATACAGGAGCAGATATTTCTGTCCTCTCCAGCCCTTGGTCACGTCCCAGGTCCACCTCTTCTGAGCACCTGCTCTTATGCAGGGTTCAATGGAGACTCAGGCTCAAGGTCTTTTGTTCAGCTGTGGCTGCCAGTGCAAATGTTGACAGACAGACCTTCCTTTATCTTCCCAGCACAAGCCTTTCTGGGGCTGTCAGTGTTCAGGGACAGCATTCTCACCCACTGAAAGCAAGAGTTTTCCACTGACCCCAATGGGGTCCCCATTCTCCCACTCCCCCTCTCCATTTCTCATGCCAGGATGGACAGCAGGTGCTGAGCGGGACAGGATTATCTCAACCTCCTCTCCACAGCACTCCACTGAATTCATAATTATAATTATCAGCAGCAACCTTGATTCTGAAGGCAAACAAAAGGCAAATATTTTCCTGATGGGTTGAGGAGTTTATGAAAACCAAACAGCTGATAATTTAAGCAAGAGGGATATTCAGCTCTTATATTTATAATATAATCAGGGGCTGTGCAACTTGCATAATGTGCTAGACTCACTGCACTAATAAAAGATTCTCTTTCTAGTTGTGATTCTGCTCTGGCAAGAGAGGAGTGTACGTTAAAAAGAGCATTTCAAAGCTGCATCAAATTTAAATAGTCTCATTGCAGATTTCTTGTGGAAGTGAGACAGGAGCAAAAATAGAGCTAGAAGTGAGGCGTGAAGAGAAGCTCTGTAAAAATAGTAAATGATGGCATTAAAATGGCTACAGGAAGGGAGGTGTCCTTGAGGAAGTAGGAGTGGAGTTAATCTGCTGTGAAGTTATTTGAAAACTCACTGAGAATTGCAAGGGCCTCTGCGGATCAGTGGTTTCGCACCTCCAAGAGATGGTGTTCCCTCCACAGAGGAGTGAGAGGTGGGGTGGGAAAAGGCAGGTGCAAGTCATGGGAATCTTGCTCTGCCTCAGGCTGGGACATGTTTCATCAAACATCCAGCTGAAATAGGTCTTCCACGTCAGGCTGCCACGATTTATTGGTATGTCAGGAAGAACATAAGGCTTTGTTGGAGATTTCAACTCAGAGCCCAGTGATAATCCCAGGACAAAGCCCTGCTTGGGTTCAGGGTTTGCTCCCATCTGACACATGGTGTTCTCTACAAGCATCCACACTGGGACTGGATTGCTGTAAGCACAGGGGGAGGAAAGCAGAACAACAGCAGGGAAATCACGTGGCTTGTAACCAAATATTTGCAGGAGTCCCTCAGGGTCAGGCTGCCAAATTTCAGAGAGCACGCAGTTGTTGGAGGCAGGAGACTGTGCCAGGACTCTGGGGGCCTTGTATAGGTTCCTCAACCCGCCTTCTTGAAGAATTGCCTGATGCTCCTTCATTATGAGCAGGGATGTGATTTGGAAGGATGATCTCCTTACAGACAAACGTCTGACCAGTTGTATTTGGAAAAAACTCTCACAGTTTCATTTTAATTCCTTTCAGACTTCACTTGTGCTATCAAAAATGGAGGCTGCAAGCACTTTTGCAGTCATGACCCACCACAGAAGGTTGTGTGTTCCTGCGCTGCTGGCTATAGACTTCATGAAGATGGAAAGTCCTGTGAACCTACAGGTTAACTCTTAAACTATTTTTAAGATATTTAGGTTAAAGTTTTCAAGGTCTTGCCCTGGATTTAGATACATGAATCTCATAGAAATGCAATATCCTGTTGGAAACCAGACTTGTTTTCCTGCTTAGCAAATGTAAACAGCCTGACCTGACCCTGCACTTTCCCAAAGGCAGATGTGGGGTCAGGCTCAGAGGATTCAATTTAAACACCTTTTTTGTAGCCTATGTGGGTAGAGAAGGAGGGTAGTTGTCCAGGAATTTGTTCATAATGCAAATGTTTGTCTTAGGTGGCTGCTCGCACAGACTACTCTCCCACCTGCAGCCACATTATATTTCTAGATATGGATCAGTAGTTTTCTGGAGGCAGAAAAGTGATGTTCAGCTATACCAGCATCCATTCAGCCAGAGCTCACTCCCATGTTCTTCCAATAGGAGCTACTGTTTGGTTACTTCTACGCTGAGGATGCCTTGGACTTTTTCAGAACAAAATATGATCTTTCTAACTGTAAATCCTTCTGATAGTCCATTTCATGGCTGGTCATTACCCAGTTAAAATTATCTGAGTTGGGTGGATACAAGTAAAGCTTTGTTGTGGTGTGTCCTCCCAACAGTGTGTATTTACACCCAGAGACCCTCAATAACAACTAGTCAAACAAGGTGGTTTAGCTGTGGTATCAAGTGGGGTGGAAGGGAAAAGCTTCATAAAGGCCTAAAGAATAGCTGGTTCTTGCTATATTCCCCAGCTTTACCTTGCTTCTGAGCTGTTACAATAACTACACAGACATGTGCAGACCCAACCCACTACAACACAGCAAGTTAATTGGGCATGAACATCTCAGAAACACATCTGGCAGAGGAGAGAGGAGACTTTGCAGACAAATATTTTGTCATATAAAGTCAATTTAACATTTGATGCTATCATATTTCTAACACCTGAGTGTAACAGGTTTGCACATCCGAGCTTGCATGCAGGCACCTACACAGGTGAGATAGTTTGCTAAGATCTGACAGCTATAGCCAGGAACTCTTTGAGCTCTTGGAAGTGCTGGCTTTCAGGAATCAGTGTAGGAAGTATCTTAGGCTGGGAGTCCTGTTAACAGAGATAACTAAGATCTCAGGCCTGTGTTGCCCAACATGCTGTATCATTTTCACTGGACCAGAAAGGTTTACTGTTAGCAATAAGATCATCTTTCAGGTTGGGTAACTGCCCTTCCTGCAAAAGCTTAGCTTTTGTTGGCTCTGAAACCTTCATTTCCTGGCCTAACCTCAGGGGTAGCACTTGCCATCACTCAACACTTATTTAAGTCCTGTTCCTAAAGCAGGCTGTTTAACAATAAAGGATGAAATCTCCATAGGCCACATTCACATCTGATTTTACACTAATGTTTGCTCAGTGCTGTCAAAAGCTTTTCAGATGAAAGACAATGCCTGATGCTATTTACTATTTTGACTGCCACTATCAGCAGGAATTCAGCACACATTGCATAGGAGAGAAAGGGAAAGAACTCGTCTGAAACAAGCCTGCAGATGAGCTCTTCATTAACAGAGAAAGTCTACAACCCTAGAAAGAGTTTATTAATGTTTTCCTCACCTTGGTGCCAAGCAGGATTATCTGTACAATTGGCAGATCTTATTTCCTGTCCTCTCCCAGCTGGACATTTATTGTTCTGGAGTCACTTGCCATAGAAATGCCAGCCAAGTGCCCAGCTGCCCAACATGAGCCTCCCAGGTATGCACCACAGTATCCCACCAAAAGAAGGCACAGCTGCCCCAGCCTGTCAGGCGTGCATTCTCAACAAACAAGCTTTTTTCATTTTTAAAACTGTTCGGATGTCATTTCTAAAGCCCAGAAACAATTTATGCTTTTGCTACTTTTACATATTACCCGCACTGCGGCTCAAAGGCACAGGCATGTTTGCACAGGGTCAGCCCACTGACATGTGTCTCCCATGTCAGTCCAAAACAGGGTGCTGAGATGAGGCAGCATTTGCCTTCTCACCTTCTCCTTCAGTTGCTGTAACTCTCAGGATGACACAGCCAGTCATAACTGTGACTGTTTCGCTTGCAGTGCCGTATCCCTGTGGGAAGATCACGGCTCCTGAAGCAAAGAGCAAGCTCACCCGATCCATGAACACCTTTGAGAATTGGAACATAACCGGCGATGACCATGAGGATGCTCAAGACGAGGTGCTCGACAACATCACGGAAACCAGCACTGCTGCCACCACGAAAATCACACCGATAATTAAGGAGGGCACCCGGGTTGTCGGCGGGACAGACAGCATGAAAGGCGAGGTGCCTTGGCAGGTACCAGCTATTTCTGCAACCCTCCTGTAACCCTAGCAGTCGCTCTGCTAACTTATTTCTTTCTGAAGGCAGGATCATCTTACTTTTAAATACCCAAAGCCCATCTCTGAAGTTAGAATAGCACTAGGTCTCAAGTTTAACAGGAACACAGTTTCTTTCTGTACACGGTTTTATGTCACAGCAAAAAAAGTTGCCTGGATGGGGGTCTACCCTGGCAAAAAAGCCACAAGAGCTTTACCTGGTGGGGCACAAAGGATTTGGTTTTGAGCTACAGCAACAAATTGCCCAGTAGTCCATGAATTTACCAAAATTAGGCTGAAGACTGAGGAAGCGGAGCTTTGCAAGGAACAACACAGCTCAGTTTTTAGCTCCATCGGTTTCAGCAGATCATAGAATCATAGAACGGTTTGGGTTGGAAGGATCTTAAAGATCATCTAGTTCCAACCCCCTGCCATGGGCAGGGACACCTTTTGCTAGTTCAGGTTTACACAAACGCATGGGTGTGATATCCTCCTGCTTCCACAGGTTCTCCTGCTGGACAGTAATGGTGAGGGCTTCTGTGGCGCATCCATCATCAACGAGAAATGGGTGGTGACAGCAGCGCACTGCCTGGAGAAAGGCCTTGACATCTCTGCTGTGGCAGGTGAGCACCTCAGGCAGCATTGGGACAGAGAGCAGGGGAGGGACATGAGACAGGACTTGCACAGGCCAGGCCAAGGCATTGCACAGAACACTGATCCACACCATCCTGGTGGGCAGCAGCGTGGCACAAGTTGCTATAGGGCACAAGGGCCCCAGTTGCAGGTTGCAGAATTTCATCAACCTGGTCCCTGCAAGTACCACCACCTCTGGTGGGAGCAGTGAGCTGGGTCTAGCCTTGGTCCCAAAGCCATGGAGCTGCTGGACCAAACTGTATACACAGTTCAACCTGACCACAGGCAAGCTCACCTGAGCCAGACATCTAGGATACTTTAAAGCCCTATGGATTTCAGTTAAAATTCTGCCTCGTGAGCTGGTGTGGTGGATGTTTATCTCTACTGGCCACACAGGCCTCACTGGAGAGTTCTGATCTTGGAGATCACACTACATTTTCATACAATTCTCAGAGAACTCTCAGGATTTGTGTGGCTGCTTCAAGAGGAGCATCAGTCACCTGACTACCTCCTTGCAAGGAAAAGATGACTACTTTTGCTCCTAACTTTTTAAAAGTAAATAGAATTTATGTATTGAGGTAGAGAAACCGGGCTGGCACGTGGGAAAGTGTGCTTGTACAGCAGGATCTCTGGGGACTTAAGACACAGGCCCTGTACGGAGGCTGCACAACAGGTTATGCTGCTACTTAAAAAGACAAATGTGTATCTACTTGAAAAATGGTGTTTCCCCCTGACTGGTGGCACCCAACTGTGCCAGACCTCCTGCTAGGAAGCCTGCTGATAACTCAGCGTGGGGCCTTGGTGAGCATCAAGGTGCCACATTTCATAGCTGTGGCAGAATCAGCTTCCCCAAACTATTTGTTTCTTCCCTGTATAAATATTTACATAGGTTACACCAATAGGTACAGGAGGGGGACAGTGACATGGTTAGTAATTGCTACCAGCAGTACTGAGAGGAGGCATGGAAGATCCATGCTTTCTGTTGAAGCACTATGAAATGTAGTAGTGACAAAAATAACATTTTATCTCAGTCTTGACAGACTGAGTTTATACCTCCGCAAACGAGCTCATCAAAAGGGCTCCAGCTGCATCTTCATCTTCCATGCTAACAAGGTGAAGCTCCTGAGTGTGCCTGGCTGGACTTTGGAGGCTTACTGCCACGGGGCTGGGCACTACTGCCAGGTCCTGGCAGGATGAGGCTCACAGCTTGCACACAGCTTTTTTTGCTATCTATTTCCAGGCAGTTTTGCTGGAAAGCTGAGCACAAAGTCCAGCCTTGCACCTCTTAATGTGGAAAAGCATAAAATGCCCAACGCAGAAACAGTTTCCCCCTAAAAAGCACATTTCCACCTCGACAGAAGTTTTGTGTTTGCTGCACATGCATGCAAACTGCCTCTCCTTTCAGGCTCTCTCCTGAACATCGCACACTCCCTCCATTTAGGATATGTTATCAGCCAAGTCCCCTTGCTCTCCCCTCATACCACTCTGCGGCACTGCTGGGTTTCCAGGGCAGAATTTTGGCCAGACAAGTCAAGAAAGCAAAATATGGTTGTGCAGGGCTCCAGGGACTATTGAATTTGTGCCTGCACCACGTACACAGCACGGGCAACGTCAGAGTTCTTCACATCCATTTGTGCTTTGTATATAACATCTTAGGAGGCCCAAAAATCTATAGCAGGAGGTGGGAGAGGCATTTCCCTCCCCTGTACTTCTTTGCCTCTCCACTTCAATCCCTGAAACACATTTTTAGGTCCCCAGCAGTAGCAAGCAGCTGTAATGTAAGAAAAACCATCTGAAAGTCTCCCCCACATCTGTCTTGCATTTACACTGTACAAACACAGCCTGCAAAGGAGCTGACATTCACACTCTGCCGCAAAACAACCCCTCCCAGAGAACATCGGCACATCGGCAGCACCAGCCACCCCTCCCACCTTCGCCAGCATTAGCGTGACCGCAGAAATCCACCTCACCTCTCTCGCAGGCTCCGTGCTGCTCCTCGCAGGCAGCCGCAGCAGGCACAGGACACGGACAGGGCCAGCGGTGCTGCAGATATTGTTTAGAGGAGACGGTATATTCTGGAGATCACAGCAGAGCGTGTAGAAGCCCCGCAGCAGGGGTTAAACGCACCCTGCGCCTCTGGGGCTGCGAGAAAGCAATCGGGAAAAGTCATCCTGCTCTCCAGCTTTCAGCACAGGCAGCACGCGGGCGGGAGAAGGGATACAGCTACAGGCAGACCCAGATCTGCCCATTCGCCGACCTGAGACCACAGAACATTTTCCTTTCCCTCTACCTGTTACACAAACCGGGAGGGGAGGTAACAGGCTGCCGCAACTCAATCACAGGAACCTGAAGCTGCCGGCAATGATTGCGAGCAGCTGAGCCTCGGGCGGGCGGTGGAAACTCAGGCACCTGTGAGCACCAGGATGTGGCATTTTGTAGCCTCCTGCACCCCATTCTGCCCCGTGGCTGTGTGGTTTTAGAAAAGGGAAGGTCAGGTTTCTTTTCCTAATAAATTATCTATTTTAAACCAAGATTTTTCATCAAGGGGCTTTGTTGCCTTTGATACAAGAACAACATCCCCTCTTTGAGAGTGCTAAATCCCCAAAACAGCCACATTGCTACTAACTCTGGCAAAACATCTGGATCTTTGGCACATGATTGGACGATGTGTGCCTGGTGTCACACCAGTGGGTTCAGGTTCTGCCAGCTGCAGGGACAGAGGAGGCACTGCCGTGAGGAAACCTCCAGCACCCTTTGAGAAGGAGCAAGTAGCCTGGCCAGTACCAGTCTCCCAGCAATCCGAGGGCTCAGCTCTTTGCAGCCACTTGGCTGGGCTGGGATTGCATTGGCATGGCCTCTCCATGGCATGATCACTGGTCCGGCCACGGAGGGATCAAGCCCAAGTCACACTTGTCTCCGCAGGTGAACACAACACTCGGGAGGATGACCACACAGAGCAGCGGCGTAAAGTGGTGAAAGCCCTTCCCCACCCCACGTACGACGCCTCGATCAACGAGTACCACAACGACATTGCCCTCCTGGAGCTGGACGAGCCCCTCGTTTTCAACAGCTACGTCACCCCCATCTGCCTCGGCAGCCGGGAGTTCACCAATGCCCTGCTGAAGCAGGGCACGGGGACGGTGAGCGGCTGGGGCCGCCTGCACTACCGTGGCCGGCCGGCCACCACCCTCCAGGTCGTCAAGGTGCCCTTTGTTGACCGGCCGACCTGCCTCAAGAGCACCTCCACCACCATCCTGCAGAACATGTTCTGTGCAGGTTACCCATCTGGGGGCAAGGACACCTGCGAGGGGGACAGCGGAGGGCCCTACACCACTGAGATCGAGGGCACCTGGTTTCTCACAGGGATCACCAGTTGGGGTGAGGAATGTGCCAAGCCAGGCAAATATGGCATCTACACCAGGGTCTCCAAGTATGTGAAGTGGATAAAGCAAAACACGAAGCTCACCTAACCCGAAGGAGTGTTATGCTGTGCTGGGGAGGCTACACTGTGCTGGGGGATGGACTGGTTAGTTGAAGAGAGACCCATAGCAATCTCCATGTTTTTGAGAAATCACTGCAGTTTAATAAACATTTCTAAATGAAATAACCTCTGCTCTTGGAAGGCAAAAGTTAAGAGAACACAATGAAAACATGGTAATAAAGAAATAAAAAGCCCTTTTAATGGTCCATGACTGTATTCCTGAATGCACTGGAATGCCACACAGCACTGTGGGCAAGGGAAGCCCAGCAGGCACTGGTGCCTCAGACATCAGCACCCACCATCAACCCAGTAGTAGGAGTCCATGAGGGAGGTGAACACGCACAGCAGTGCACCCACATTGCTCTTGGCCAGATGTTTTCACATGAGCCAGGCTGAGATGGATCACAGGCAGCAGAAATGCTCCTCCTGCTCTAGGACAGCATAAAATTGACTGCAAAAATTACCTAAAATATGTATAAAACTCATCTAAAGGTAGTGGTAGGCTTTATGCTAATGTTTTCTGCTGAGCCAGGTTAGGATTATAAAAAGAACTGCTTAGTGTCCTGGTGTTTATATTAATCATGTTAAATTAGAGACTGCAGCAACAGGCACTGCTGGTAGTGACGGAGACTGTGTTGCCCTCCTCAAACAAGCTTGTGGGACGTCCTCTGAGCATGGACAGCTTGGGACACCCCAGAGGCAGACAGTTCCCTGGGAGACACCTGCCCTATGCCCAGGGTGGGCACTGGCACTGAGGCACAGGCAAAGGGAGGTGGCATTCCAGGGAAAGGTGATACTGGGCAGAGGTCCTTTGTCAGGGCGATTCAAGTGGGTTTAATTCAGTTCCCAGCTTCAAGGGAAGGGAATAATCCCAGAGGAAGGGAGGTTTACCTCTGATCAGTGCTGGTTCACCTTGTATCTCTTTCCACAGAAAAATCCAGAGGTGCATGGGGAAACAGCATGGCCTTTGGGAACTGCACTAGGATGCCTGGCATGGGCAGCTTGTGCACAGGCTTTACCACACTGCAGGCACCATGCATGGGACACACATGGGACACACACATCCCTAGAGGCAGAACTCACTGACAAGGGTCTCCTCCCTCCCTGCTGGAGAGATGTGTCCCCAAGACCACTTCTCTCCCACCTGGAAAAGGGCTGTTGTTTCCCAAATAGCCCCCGTGGACCCACCCATGAGCACAGCCCTGTGGTCCTCAGCGCAGAGGTCCCTCCTGGCAGCGCTGCCCAGTGCTGGAATGAAGGGAAGGCTGGGGATGGAGATGCCCTGAGCCGTGCTGGGATGCAGAGGAGGCTGGGGATGGAGACACCCTGAGCTAGGGTGAGATTTCAGTAGCTGCTCTTTCAGACGTCACTGTGAGCACTTGGATTCCTCTCCCAATTTCATTGTCACTACATCCAGCGAGAAGCTAATCGGATCATCTGCCACTGATTTACCTTGAAATCAAAATGCATATAAGAAGGTTTTAGTTGTTCCAAAGAAATTAAAACCAACGCTGTGAGAATTCTTTTTTCTCTAGAATTATAGCAGAGGCGTCTCTGAACAGAATTGCATATTCTCATATGGATTTATTTAACAAGTTTTTAATCTTTAAATATAGATTTAACACATTTTTTTACAGGTACATATACAATATAGTTCATTTAAACTTGCAGTCAGAGAAAATTCTCTACTGTAATTTATACATATACATGAAGAGCCTAGTTCAACAGCATACTCAGGGTAACATACCATGTCATGTGCAAAGTTTTAAATGTTAAAAACCTCAGACTGTACATTCAGATTCGCAGAACTTATCAACCTCATAAATTAATAAAAGCTTAGATTTAAAACTATGGAAGACAAAAAAGATTAAAACCATTTAATATGCAATGTGTGCTGTGTTTGAGACAAATATTTACAGTTGTACCTCAAAATGTGTACTGTTACCACAAGAATTGTTACCACTATAAACAGCCCCAACAGTAACTTAAGACACTCCTATTTTTTCACCTAACAAGTGCATTGTGAGCAATTTTAAAGTAGATGAAAAGAACCTTCAGTGGCTTAAAACCCCTCTGGCGTGATTGCCAGTGGCTGAAGGATACTGGGATCTTTCTAGGTCTTGTGGTGTTGCTCAGTTCAGACTCAGCTGGTCATGTTTTTGAGGGTGTACGGGGGTTACCCGCAATACTGGCCACCCAAAGTGGAGAAAAGTCCACTGTGTGATGGGGAATCCTCAGGCAACCACAGCCATCAAGTAGTTCCACAATTCCTCCATACAAAAATGGTCACAAAAACCCCAAAACAAACCCCAGTGTGTTTTAACTTAGGACTGTGTTTAAGAATCAGTTCACAAACAAAAGTCATAAAGGTCCCCCTTTAGTCCACAGCATAAACATTTCATTTGGATGGGACAGAGCAAATTCACTACTGCATGCACACTATTAACCCTGCTCTCCACATAGTCAGGTGCTCTTTGCACATGTCTGTGTAAAAGTTCAAACCACCTGTACCTACCTATGTTCTACAAAAGCAAAACTAGATGAAGAAACACAAAATTAAATTATGAGTGTTCAACATTCTTTTTCCTTTCTCAAAAATTCAATAGATACATTATTGTTAAAGATGCTGAAAAGTACAGTCTTATCACAAGAACATCCTTAGTGCAAACATGGACATTTAACTTGGATTTATGGCACGTGTTCCAAAAGTACATACATTAATGTAAACTTCAACACTTGCTAGATACAGGTTTCAGCCTTGGGACACTTTGGGACCCTAAGTGATTGGCGACAACCCTGAGTTGTCAGTTTGACCTGATCCAAACCTCACTGAAATCAAGGGGACTGACTGCAATGAGCTGGAGTCAGACCCTAAGTGCAAAAAGAGGATCTTTAGCATTATTGCATCTTCACGTGTGAGTCAGCCAGATAATGCTCTTACAGAACATTACATTCACATAGCTGAAGTAGATATTTAAGAAAAAACCCACCCATAAAATCAATCAAGCAGGAGATACAGCTTCTTTGTTTGGTTTTTTTTTTCTTTTTGGTTTACCAAAACTCAACTCCTTTATTTGCAGCTTCAATAGTTGTCAGCTAGTAAGTAGGCAAAGCCTACTTTAACCTGTAGAGGAAGTTTCAAGCATCTAAACAAAGTGTCAGGAAACTGTAGTGTACTTCTCTGATGAAACATGATGGATGTCATGGAAAAGCAGCAGGTAAAATTAATAAAATACCATACTTTCCACAGGCGAAAAAAAAGAAAGAGCAGAGAATGGCTTCCTTTATGAGTATGAGAAGCTGCTTAGGACCCCAGTCCTGTTCACTGCAGATGAAGCTGTGGAGGTCTGTGAATGTGATGAATAGTACAGGACAACTCCAACTATTGTGCTATTTCTCTGTAACACTTAGTTGAAAGCTTCCAAAGAGCATCGAAAATAGGATGCTACTAGTTCACCCTTAATTCAAGGGGAACTAAACTTTCTCGTGTTACACAGGGCAGCATCTATAAAGTAATGGAGAATGATGTTAATATTAAAGCATCTGATTCCAAGAAATACATTGTTCCCTGTAATCATGTAACATTTGTATAACATAAAAAAATAAGCGAACTCCTGCAGTTCTCCCTAAAAGCTGAACTCCCACTGGCTTCAGAGAGAGCCTTGACTAAGGCAGGACCACAGGGTTTGACTCATTTCCATCATCTATCACTTCATTATCACAGCAAGGCCAGCTGATATCTTCTCTAGACTCCTTATTTTGTCAGGCTCAAAATGGTTTTCTATGGTGTTACTAAATATCTGTTCAGTGAAGCTGGCTGGGATCTCAGGTCACAGGAGGAGACCCTGCTTTACGTTTCAGAGGCCAAAAAGAAATCAGCATTGCCTTTAATGGACCCTGCATAAATACAAAAGCCTGTGGCTGCAATCATTAAAGTGCATGAGTGATAGTGCAAACAGCTGCGCTGCATCTGCAAACTACAAGTGGCATTTTAACCAGGACTTAGACAAAACTTGCGTGTTTCAGCCAACATGCTTATGCCAGCCCGCGAGAGCTCAAGAGTTCAGCCACATACAATAAATACCCTGCTCTGGCCGATTTGAGCCACAAAAGGGTTGCCTCAAGCTAACCACAGTCAAGAGGATGATCCCCAGCACCCTGGCCAGCAGGAGCAGAGGACATGCAAGCTCGGTCCTTCAGGCACTACCAGCGGGGGAAACCTTTGCTCAGCTTTATGGCATGAAGAGCACACACAGGGGATCCCCTTAAGGCTTGGAAGAGATAATTTGGCAACTAGGCTGTTAAAGCAAACTAGGAGAGGGTCTGGTAGAACAGGTGTCCTCCTTAAATCACAGAATTATAGAATCACAGACTGGTTTGGGTTGGAAGGGACCTTAATGATCATCTAGTTCCAATCCCCTGCCAAGGACAGGGATGCCACCCACAAATTCAGGCTGCTTGGTGCCCCACCCAGCCTGGTCTTTAACACTTCCAGGGATGGGGCTAAATTTAGTGGGTGCTGCCTTTGGCACAGAGCATCCTTCCATGCCTGCTCTGAGTGCTTTGGACTCGAGACAAATTCTGCCATAACACTTTTTTTCTGTTTAAAAGAACTTGAAAGTTGTAGCAATGTTTCTTTTATATTTATAATGAGTAAAGGCATCTATCACTGCTTCTACTTTTCATTCTAATCCCTTCCTTTACTCTGAAGTTCCTTCAGACTACTCTATTTCAGGCTCTCTTTAAAAGAAATCAGTCTCACACAATCTCCATGCAGTGAGTGGAAATTAGACACTCGCCCTTCTCTCTGCCCAGCTTTTAAAGTTCAGGTGAAAAAAGTTAAACTCTGATGTGAAAATCTGGGACCAAACAACATGTTTCCTTTAGCTTGCATCTGTTTACCACTGCTGAGAGAAAAGATTAGCAGGGACAGTGCTTAACCTTGATGAGAGGGGAGGCTGCACTGCTGCTGGACATGAGCACTGTGTCACTGAAGAGAAAACAAGTCACATCTACTTTGGGTTACAGCAAGGACCTCATTTCTGCTGACCCCACTCTCCCTTTGCCATGAAGCTGCAGCACAGCTGAGAGGTGAGACGTTTCTTCCTTCACTGACACAGACACTGCCAGTGCTATAAATTGTAATTTTGGCACATCATCCACCAAGGGACATGCAGAAATGTTTAGTCTCCTGGCCTACTGCAGAAGAGGAGTTGGGATTGTAATGCTGCAGCCCTCACCTTCCCTGAAATGAGGAGGTAATTCCACATCTTGTTAATTCATAGCAAAACCAAGTCAGTAGACCAGGCAATGCCTGACAGCTCTAGCAAGGCAGCTGGCACTAGCAACACATGGGTGAACCTCAGCAGTAGCTATTTTCTGAATATTGCTCTTTCTGAGCAGAGTTCTCTCCAAATTTTTCTCATTTTGATCATTTTGAGATCTGCGTGTAATCCCCTTCAATACAAAACATTTCCTATGGCACAAAAAATCCACGGTGGATTTGCACAGAAGAGTGAATAAATCTATTCGGAAGAAAGCAGCAAGGACTAAACTCAGAACTTAACAGCTAGAGGCACACCAGAAGGAAAACTTGTTTTCAAAATGATCTCCAAGCCAGCTATCTTCCTCCCAGAAAGCCTCTGGCTTATCTCCAGGCCAAGATTTACAAGAGGATGGTGGATTTGCAAAGCTAGAGATGGCCAGGCAGTAGGGCATGGACCTTTGCTAAGTTAAAATGGGCAGGAAAAAGTTCCCTGTAACTTCATTATGATTTGTATTGGCTCAACACAGGAATAATTAGCAGGAGGGAGAGGAACAGCTTGTAAGTGTATCAGACATCTTGTGGTGGGAGGTTTTTTTTAGGGCCACAGCACAAATTTAAGAAAAAAAATGTGAAGATAAGGAAACAATGTAATCTATTCAACTAAAGGCTTTGCACTGAAAAAAACATCCTCAAACCCAGATTTGTATGAATTCTGTTATGAGCTTCTGTAATTGGACATATATTTTTATTTATTAGGGGGACCTGGGGAAATAACAGATGCAATGCTCCCGTGAAGGGCCAGGAACTGCCCCTCCCCCAGCGCTGAAGTGACTCCAGAATGCTCTCAGCTCTTGGGGACCCCACAACATGTTAATCATGTTTACCCTGCTTACATGTAAAACAGCATTTCAGCACAAGCAGCTCATAATACAAGAGGGTTCCAGTGCTCCCTCCTGCCCCTACTTTGCTCTACAAAGCTTGGCTGCCTAATTCTCCCTGTGCTATATTGGAGCAAGAGCTCCCTCTTCTGAAGAAGCAGAAAAGAGCCCAATCCAGACTGCATTCCTGAGGAGTCAGTGGTACAGTGTCACCTGCAGTGTGAAGTGACCAGCCCACAGAGGAAAGAGAATTGCCAAATGCAAAGGTACCGTCTTAAAGTCAATTTTCAGAGTGCAAGTTGCTTATGGCTATAAGGACATGTCGCTGAAAAGCTCTAGGAATAGCTCTAGGAAATAGCAAGAAAACATCCTACATCATTCTGCAATCAAAAAGCTCTAGGAATAGCTCTAGGAAATAGCATGAAAACATCCTACATCATCCCACAATATTGCCTGGAGTGCACGTAAAATTAGAACCATGCCTTGAGACTGCAGGCACGATCAGCAACAGCAAAAGAGAACAGAATTACCCTCACAGGGAAAACAGAGCCTCAGTGCTGCAACTAAACCATGGGACACGACTGCAAAGCACCTAGGCAGTGGTGTGGGACTCACAGGAGGAGCTTTCTGTGATTTCACCTTGTGAAATTCTCCTTAGTTTGTACTCAACAACTTTGTAAACCAGTCTGGAGCTGTGAGTCTCTGGCTTTCAGGGATATGACCACTGACAAAGCAAACCAAGGTTCAAAGTTTGCCAGCACCCTGTTTTTGAGTTGCATTCACAGCTGGAGAACCCTCCTGCACAGAATATGGTGGGATGGGATAGCTATACATGCAGAGAAGATCAAGGTAGACATAATTGCATCTTGAAAACAGGGTGCCAGCAAAATTTGAACACTGGTTAGCAAACTACCCTTTACATAAAGTCAGAAAACCTCCAACCTGTGAGATTGCCCTTTAACAAAGGGGATAAAAAATACCTTCCTGTATAAGAAGGATTTCACTGAAATATACTGGCAAACCATCAAGAGCTGTCTGGAATTTTAAGCCTTTCAGAAGGCTTCCTTCATGTTCATCAAAATAACAGATTTTGACAAAAAGGAAGTATTTAAAGATAAAACTCGTTGTGAAATTTGCTTCCTATGGTCATAACTAGTGTATTCTTTTCTTTTTTTTTTTTTTTTAATGGACTAAGTCTATGTGGGTTTCCTGAGCTGTTCCCACCTGAAACCCTGGTCTCCCATTTCCAGTGAACAGCATGGTGATGAGGCAACACATGGAGCGGTGATGCTGCATACATGGCAAGGGCGACAGGCTGCTCTTAAGGCATTTTCTTGTGTCATCTGTTATGCTTCCCTACCTATTTCTATGTACATTTACAGCTAGAAAATGTGAAATACGGTTTTCGAGACTAGAAGCCTTCGGCCAAAAGCTGGTAACCTGTTTATTATAAAATTTATCTAAGGATGGGATTAACCAGCAGGCAGCAATGAGGGCAGGAGTGAGGCTGCAGGGATGAAGTATTGCCTTTAGAGTGCTGGGGGTCAGGCCACGATGTCTTTTGCAGCAGGAGGAGGTTTTGCCTAGGTGCCTCCTGTTCACACGGGGTTTGGGCTACAGCAGCGAGTAGGCAAAACAGTCACAGGAATCCCTGGTCAGACTCCATCTCTTCTCCTGGATCTTCTACTCAGTGCTCTTGCAAAGAAATCTACGTTTTTAAATGCTTGGTTTTAATTTACTAGAGCCTAAAGTCTCAGAAATGTCTTAAGTGTTAAGAAACAAAAAAAGGAAGCTTAATTTACTACTTTTACAGGCTTTTTGGAGTAGCTGCTTGCTTTTCTATTTTTCCTGCAGAGGCATATGCAGCCAGATTTAGTACACCAAGTGTAATGCAAATGGCTTAAAAGACCTGATTTGAGATATGAAATATTTCTGCTAGGCGTGCTATATAATACCTGCAACTTTGGCATTCCGAAATCTGCAGTCACCGACTACTATCTGCAGACTGTGGACAGGAATCCAGCCTTCTTTTCTTCTGTTTAGGTTTTTCACCAACCTTTGAATGACAACAGCATTAGTAAAAGAAACCAACCAACTCAGGAGCAGTTTGATGTGGTCACACTCTACACAATTGGGAGTGCAACCAACAGTTCAGTCAAACCAGGGAAGCATTTTAACAGGAGCTGGGCATGCATTTAAAGTATTCCTCCCACTTAAACTTAGGAACATAATTAAAAAGCCTACACTGGGAGCACATCTGCCTTGGGCAACTCTCTAGTCAATGGAGAGGAACAGGACTCTCTCTCTCCTTATCCTGCCTGAGACCTCCAGAGATGCCAGTGAGGAAAACTGGGTACTGATAGAGCCAAAGGCAATTACTTTCCTCACTCCTCTGCTATTCAGACTGGTAGGATGAATTTAGTCAGGGTACTATAAGCAAATTAAAGCCAAGACGTAGGCAGCTGGAAATACTCATAAATGACATCTCTCTGTCTCACTCATGCAGTAAAATTTGTACAAACAAAAAAATTTGGTGTGAGAAATCTCTGACTGGCACTGGTCGAAATCCCCAGGAGAGGTGAATATTCAGTAAACCTGAGATTATTTGCATCTTTTGCTAACAGCAAACTGAATTTTGCAAAATGCAGCAGGAGTAAATGATCACTGCAGATCCCTTCCAACTGAAATATTCTATTTTATACTTTTTTGAATTTCCCTTGAAGTGCAAGGGCTGTAGCTGTCAGACAGGAATCCTCCATGGGGCATTCACATCTGTGTATCTGTGGGCTAGTGCTTGCACAAATCTGATCCAGGTTCCTGCTAAAATCCCCCTTCCCACACCCCAAACAAGGCATTAGCACACTGCTCTCTCTCCTACTGAGACCCCAGGCTGGCTGATGAGAGCTAGTCAGAATCAACCTGGAAAGGAGAGACAGCCAGGCATCTCAGCCAAATTGCTGCAAATCTTGGGAGAGGGAATGCTGCCCTCCCAGACAAGGAGACTAATGGTTCAACAGGCAGGAGGCCTGGGATAGTCATTCCCCAGGCAATGCTCCCAGACACAAGGAGAGAACCAGGTGTAAGGTGTAAGCTTGCGAGCCATAGCTTTAAATACAACAAAGATGGTCCGCAGTTTAACACTTGTACAGCTGTTTGAGGGAGGAAAATGTCTTGCAATTACTCAATATTGCCATTAATAAGCCCAGAGGAACAAAGCCAGGAGCTGGGCTGGGGTGTGCAAAGGGCTCGCACTCAAAGCACCATCTGAAAAGTGGGAAGAGGGGCTGTGAAGATATTGGTAAAACCCACCTCACCCAGACACCCACAGCAAGGAAGTCCTGACATGTTTTCCCAGGATGGCATCTAGTCTTGGCAAGGGAATGAATTCTCCAGCTTTCTGGAATAGTCTAAAACTTAATCAGAGGCTGCAGTGGGTGTATCACCAGGCAAGTGACATTTCAAGGGAATGCCTTGCAGGCTCTTAGAGATAAGGCACAGTAGTCCTAAAATACCTACCACTGTCCCTCACCATCTTCATGCACGAGCTGAATTTCATCCCCGTTTTTCACCAGCAGGTCCTCTGATCCTCTCCTCTTGCAGTCTGCAAGGGCTTTGTATTTTCCTGGAGACTGGTAGAATGAAAACCTTATCTTATTTAGCTGCATTTCATATCACGCAGCTGTTATTTCTGACTGCCACAGGGAATGTGACAGAGCCATATCAGCTACATTAATTAAAATTATTTCAAGAAACTGTGGCTGAGACGTCTCCTCATTCCCCAAATTGAGATATGTAAATTCTGAGAGACGTGGACAAGATACATCCATTATCCAGTGAAGATAAACAAAGCAAGATGATTGAAAATGGCAGCACCTCAAGCTTTGAGACTATTGCATATCTACTAACCAGCTGGTTCCCATCCTCCTCTTCAGTGTCCGAGCAGTTGGAGAGGTACTGGTTACCCGACCACTCCTCCAGCCCCTCACAGATTTCCAGGGACTGAGACATTCCTGGCCAGCCTGCAAGACAATGTGCAGCTCAGTTTGGGGGAACCACAGCACCTGCAAAGCATGCCCTGAAGGGAGGGGAAGGGTCTGTACTTCGGTGGGGCTTGTTCTGGGGGGACACGAGCCCACTGTCCAACATCACCGGGCTGGTGCGCTCTGAGTCGTTCTCTTCTGAGCTTATGGAGGCTCTCTGCTGCTTTCTGAATGGTTGAAAAAATAAAGAAGCAAATCTTAGTTTTACTTTATGAATGAATGCAAACTCCACTAGGTTTTGTAAAATGAAGTCAGAAATAATACTGATACCCCTTAATCTGTGTTTCTATAAAGGTTAAGGACTTCAGTGTCTGGTTTTAATTTTTTTGGGATGGGAAATAAAGTTGCTGCAACTTCTCTACCCCTGAATTTGAGCACTGGTTTTGATCTTTGTCTGCATTTGCCAAGGAGCTGCAGCTCAGGCTGTGCTGCCAGGCTCGAGGGTGCCCCTCAACAACCCTGCCCCCAGACCACTGCCACCAAAGGGTGAGTAGCAGCACATCCCTCCTGTTCCCTCCCCAGAGGTCTTAGACAGAAATAGGGAGAAAATGGGTACCCCAGGGAGCCTCCAGTCCAGCTCCTGGCACTCACCCATCACTCAGCTGGGAGGAGAGCGGGATCTGGTCTGTGCCTGAGCCAGGCTGCTGCTTCTCTACTGCAGGGAGGTCAAACACCAGCTTAAAATCCATTTTTTATTAGTAACTGTCACACTTGATGCATTACTTTAAAAATTACACCTTTTTTACAACCCTATTGATTTCTCTTCAGAGAAAAACAGACCTATGGACTCTTGCAAAGCACAGACTTAGTTATGATTAAGATGGCATGTTAGCACAAATCCAATATTGAGCATACTACTAAAGACCATAATATGCTTAAAATTAGGAGTCTGTTATGTATCTTGTTGAATTAAGCCTATGATAACAAACGTGAAATAATCCCCAGGGTAACGATGGCCAAAAAAACATACTTCTGTAATTAATTTTCACGCAAGCACCTGGTCTTTACTGCTCCAAGTTATGTTATTTCCCTGTAATGTAAGGCCTCACTCCAGTATTTTGCTACCAGGTTTCTGGAAATCAATTCTCTAGTGAGAATTAGTGGATTTGAAGACTAGCAATGAGAAAACAGGAAAGGTTCTGCTACAGAGTGAATGCCACAGAGAAATTGGTCAAATGTACCTTTTATAAGCTCCTGCTGCTTGAACAAAATTTTTCGTATTTCATTCAACCATGCCATCTTCAGATCTACTGTTTGGGCCTGGAAGAAGAGAAAACTTTCAGAATTTTGAATTAAGATTTATGAATAAAATCTTACTTTTCCATGTTGTAATTATCTGAAATCCTCGTTTTTCCAAAACCACCACTACATTTTAGACTCTTGATCTTTTAAATTTCATGGTTCCCATTACATCCAGGCAAAGCACAGTGGAAATTGTAAACTTATCACTACCATGCAAGGAGAGGAGTGCAAGCAAAAGCACCTGTGTGCATGCATCTTATCTCTTTCACAAAATACCTAAACACCTTTTTACAAAATACCTAAAGGGCCGTAACTGACTTTTAAACATATATTTACTTGGCTACATACACTTGCTTTATGAATTTAAGTTGGTTACTGTGTTATAACATGGAAGAAAAAAAGCTAGGCAGAAGTCTAATTAAAAAAAAAAAATCAACTGACAGTATACTCATAATGAGTTTTCCTCTGAACAGCCTTTTAGGCAAACATTTCTCCATCAGAAATTTCAATTCAAGATGCTGCAAATGGAAAAAAAAATCAAGAAGGAATCAGGTCAGTGGGGCTACTATTCTGTAGATGAGTGAAAAGATTACTGGGAATAACAGGACAGAGGCTAAGCCTTTGCTCTGGGGGCAGCTCTGACATCTTAATTGTGCAAGAGCACATGTGGCCTGTGTCCATCAAAGCACTGGGTCCATTTCCAGCTCAACTCACATAAGGTATTAAGCACAATAAAACCTTTTTTGCAACTACAGGTCTATTTAAGATTTCATCTGGAATAAAAGGGGCAATTCTGTCTCTATTTTTAAGTGACTTTTATAGTTCTGGAATGAACACCAAGGACCAGCCACTGGGACAGATCTGTGAGCACTGACGTGGGCAAAGAGAAAGAAGAAATGCAAGTTAAATGTCTGATAATCCCATCAAGATCAATGGGACACATTCTCTTAACATTGTTGTGAGGATGCACAAATATCCAGATTTTTGAAGCTACAAACCTGCACAACATAGACCTCTTCTCGCCCACTGTACCAGATCTCAAATTTCCGATGATCTCCTTTCACATTCTCAGTTATTCCCACTGCATTCATCTGCAAATCCAAATGAAACAAAACAATTAAACATACTACAAATCTCTCCCCCTTCCCTAGGAATCCAGCCCTTTGGCAGCATGCTAAACCTGTTTTCACCCAATTTAACACATTTCATCAATTTTAATTTCAGTAGCAACTGAAAGTCATTATCTGACTTATCCCCCCTGCCTTTCTGTCAGCTTGCTGCATTTGGTTAAGCTTTCCAAAACCAATCAATGGACCTTAGGGAACTTTTCATTTTGGGAATCACTGGAACTAACTGAAGCATCATCTCATATCTCTTTCAGCATGGAATTTTGCAGATGAGGGATACGAAGCTTTATAAATACATGACACATTATTTCTGCCATATTATTCTTTATTTACTCACTAAATTCTGTTTTCCTCTGTCAGTGATAATTAAAACCCATTGTGAAACATTTAGCTCCTTTAGGAGTTTCAGTTCAATGTCTTTTGGTCCCTTGCCATTCCTGTAGTTGTGACACCACCCCAAGGTTTCCAAAAGAAGGGTAAATTTTTGGGTATTCAGCCTGAGCTGCCACAAATATGAGAGACAGTAAATCCTGGTCAGAGGGAAGAAATAGAATTTCAATATCCACTAACCTGAATGAACAGACCTTAAATCTGTCTATTCCTGGCTTTCAGGACACACACAGGCTGGAAGCTGAATGCTGCTGTACCTGGGTACCCGTTATCACTGACCATTTTTGATAATTTGGATGAAAATACCAAGGGCCCAAATCGTTCAGGATCTGCATGTTGTGACCCACCTGAATGAGTAGCTCAAACTATGATTAGAAACCAAGAAACTCTTCAGCAACAGAAGACCTCTAACCCCCCCTGCTGAACATGCCATGAAGATGAAAAATGCTTTAATACCTGATATCACATAAACCATTCCCTCACTTAAAGCAGAGTTTGCTGGCAATTTATCACTGAACAAAGGATGGTCAAAAATAGCTCGTCTTCTGTGTTTTGAAACAGATGTAATAATAATGGTATCATCTATCATAAATTATTCAAGCAGACTGGGTTAGATAAATCCAGTATAAACACAAATGAAGCTTTAGAAATAACATCTGTTTAACATTGCTGGTCCTCCTTGATAATATGTGCATCCTCAGATCTTTTGGTTTGAAAGACTATGATGATTTACAGATTAGGTCACATGAACAAATGTTCTGTACCAACATTTTCAGTTGTTGGTGCCCATTTTTAGTGACTATGAACAGCCTCAGGAAATAGGAAGCAAACTGCTCTTAGAATCATAGAAACACTTACGTTGGAAAAGACCTCTAAGACCATCGAGTCCAACCATTTCCCCAGCACTGTCAAGTCCACTGGTAAGCCACGTCCCCAAGTGCCACATCTACAGTCTTTTAAATCCCTCCAGGGATGGGGATTCCACCACTGCCCTGAGCATCCTGTTCCAGTGTCTGACCATTTTTCAATGAAGAAATTTTACCTAATATCCAACCTGAACCTCCCTGATGCAACTTGAGGCCATTTCCCCTTGTCCTGTCGATGTCACAATGTCTTAGAAAGCTGGAAGAGGCTACATTCTGATTTTATGAAAACTTAAAAAACTCAAAACTTAAAATATATGAAAGCTGTTGGAAGGGCAAACTAGAGAGCACTTCATCCAGTTGCTGCAGTTCCCAGTTCTGTGCATCTTGTTTATTGACAATTTATACAGAGTCTCCCGCAAAACTGCCCAGGCATCAAGATATTAGAAATTTTAGATGATCTACTGTGATGAGGCAAAGAAAAAGTGCTAGAAATAGACAGATTTAAGGTCTGTTCATTCTGGTTAGTGGATTTTGAAATTCTATTTCCTCCCTCTGACCAGGATTTACTGTCTCTCAGCTGTTGAATTGCTGCAATGCAGACTGAGGTGGGCTAGTGCAAAGCTCTGGGATGGTGTTCATCTGCATCAGCTTCCACGTGGCACCAGGCAGGCTGATTTACCTGGCATTGCAGTAACCTGCATCCTCTAAGTCACTGAATCTCAGCTGAAGAGATATTTACCACTGGATATTTTACACAGTATGCAAAATATTATCCTGAGGGGTTCTTTTTTTGTTGTTTTACAGATGCTCCATTACACAGCTTCTACCCAACAGCTTGTTTCAATTCTGAATCCCCCAAAAACATTGTCACAAAGAAAAATAATTTCCTGATACTTAGGAATGTGGTTTAGTGGTGGACTTGGCAGTGCTGGTGATGATCTTAGAGGTCTTTTGCAACCTCATCGATTCTGTGATTCTATGATCATGAACCAAACAAATGCCAAGCTCCAAGAACATGATTTTGCCCTCAGTGTAGCAATTCTCAAAACATATGTGTGCAGATGTAATCCTGTCACATCCATGCATTCTCAAACTCCAGCCTCTCAGTGTGTCAACACAAACAACTGGAAAATGAACCCTCTTGAGGCAAAGAAAAACCCTGGACACATTGCCTGGACTCCCGAGCACAGGATTTTCTCCTCTGAGCTGGATTTTCCCCCCCACACACCTCTTCAGTTCTTTCAAAAGCATGTTATGGTAAAACAAGTACTGCAGGGAAAACAAGCTCTCCAGAAAGAAAATTATGCTGTTTGGGGAAAACATTAAGTACCTAAACATATGGCCTGAGATTTGCTTTTAATACACAATTTGTAACGCGCGCTGGAGCTGAACAGACTTATCTACTGTTACCTTGTTTTCTGACTACTCATGGCATCTCCCTCCCCAGACCCCAGTGAGATCAGGGACCTGCACCAGCGATCTGCTCTGCTTCCAAGTGCCCATTTTTTTTCCATTCTAAGATATACCCATATTGGGGTTTTATTTATTAAGAAAAACAATGCAAAGTACTGAGAAAAAATGCTGATGTTAGAAGTGCTCATCACAAGCAGTATGCCAGAAGGTCTCTTTTAGAGGAGCAGTTTGGGAATGTTATTGATAATAGTTAGCATTTAGAGGCTTGGGACTGTTGTTTATGCCCCTCATATTTTGCCATAGGCTACTTTGTCATCTGATAATTGTCCTTTTAGCTGCAGTCAGAGCCTGCTGAAGGAGAAAGGGGGAGGAAGAGTTATCACTACATCCTCCTGCCTGGCTGGGAAATAGTGCTCAGGAGCAGCCACGCAGATCCCTGCCCAAGGGGCCTCCCTGGGGCACAAGGAGCCTCCTTGCTGTCCTAGGTGGGCTGGGGAAGATGCAAAAGACCTCCCCTCTTTCATGCCCTCGTCCACACTCCTGGAAAGTGGACTAGGGGAGGGGGGCAGGCACATTGGAATCCCTGGAACTTGCCCATAGCTCCATTTCCTGGCACATGCCATCACATACATGAGTCCAAGTCCACGAGCTCTACCAGCTGCTGTCTCAGCTGTGGGAGTTCTCAGAGGTTATACAACCAACATCCTTTCATGGGCATGGCACATCCCTATGAGGCATTACAGCCCTTGACAGCAGAAAACAATCAACTGTATCAGGGGAAAAATACTGTCTGGGTCTGCAGAATTAATAGTCTACAATACACATGGCAATGCAAAAGTAAAATGTCCTTACTTTCAAAAAATGCTTAAAACTGTAAGATGAGGTTTTGTCATATCCATCTCCGTGCTCCTCTCGCTTCTTGCAGAAGACCAAGGCTTTCTCATACAGGAACAGATGCCTCTGCATCGGCTTGAATCTGGCAAGATCCTTCATTTTCGTCGGGCCTTTTCGGTGTCCTGTCCAAACGCTGAAAGATCCCTGCATCAACACTTTCCCCAGTTCACTCAGGTCACCCTGGTGAGGGCAGGACAAGTAAAAAAAGAAATAAAAAGACGTCAATTAAAACGTAAGAGGAGTCTCCAAACAATGATGGGTGACAGGGCCAGCTCTGTTCCAAGGCATGTCCCTCTGAGAACAGGTCTTCCTGGAAGGAGCAGATGATCTTTTGGCAGTGATGGCACGGTGCCAGGAGAGAAGCAGGGCTGCAGCTAGTCTAGAGAAACTGGAAGGACTAAGAAGACAGGAAAAGCTCCTATGGAAGATCAGGTCAAGGGCTCTGGTTACTTCAGTGGGAGAGGGCAGATGAGATTTGAGCCTGAACTAAGGTGTCAGAAGATAGAATTCTCCAGGAGGCCAGGACTGGGACCAGCAGCTTTGAAAGTCAACCCCTCACCCTTCCCTGAAGCCCTAGGAAAGACAACCACTTCCATGGGAAAGGATCAAAAGCAGCCTCAGAGAGTAGTTAGTGAAATGTTGAATGTGAAATGCTATGAAGACACTCCAGGTGAATTATTAGGTCAGCCATGAGAACACTTAGGTGCATGCTGAAAAAATACTCTGGAAAACCACAAGGTGGCAAGTGTGGGCACTATGCAACTCTGGATATGTCCCTTAGATGTGGATATTTTCCAAAACCCTGAAATCAGAGGGAAGACTGTCACCTGTAAGAGCTTCCTGATCCCATTCAGTTTGTAGCTGTTCTAGAACAGTTTTCAGCTCATACACTCTGGGACACTATCCATTCCCAATGCATCATCCAGTCCTGTGCAAGGGCTCTCATTACCCAATTCTACTCACATCATATCCTGTTATTGAAATCTGATGCATAGAGTCGTTGACTGACTTCAGCAAATCCAACATTGCAACCAGAGCTTCTTGAAGTTCCTGAACTCCATCACAGCTCGTGCTGTACTTTAACAGCTCCTGAAAATAGAAATGGAAGAGCATGTATTTGCACTTGAACAAAGCAGATTTTTTCCACCTCGCCCAAAGTTACCAATGCTCAGCAATTTACACTGAGTTTCTTTTTTCAAATGTCACTGGAAAAAAAGACTCCTTCTAAACCACAGTCAGTACAAGGTGTGGAACAGATCACTGCAGGATGGCCCATTTTTTCTGAGTTTCCTTAAAGATGTTGTCAGCTTTTAGAGCAGCATCTGATTTTTTTTTGTTGTGTTTTCCTCCTTGGTAAGAAATGGGAAATAAGGCTCAGGTTTTTCATTAGCTGCCCATATGTCATATATGCCCTCAAATGATGTTGCAGCAGATGATTGCCTTCAGCCTGGCAGAGACAAGGCACAGAATTTATAAAATCCAGAGTCTTCAAGTCAGTAAATGGAAGACATAATTTTACCATTGAGATAAAATTTTGTTTCACTTAGAGCTGCATGTGTACTCATTCAAGAGGCTAGAAGGTGGGGTTCAGAAGCTACTACCCAAGTGTTATTCCCACCTTACAGAGTGAGAATAACAGCATTGCCCTGCCTCAGATGGGGGACACAAGAATAAGTGCATTAAAGATTACAAGCACTGTAAACACCTGAGGAGAAAAGAGATACACTAACATAATATATTTTATTCATCATATTCTCATGATCATCCCTGGTTCAGTTTTCTTAGAAGTGTGTCTGTCATTTTGCATCTCTGAACAGCATCTCTGGACAGACTCAAACAGTTTTTCTCCCCTTAAAAAACAGCTTGTTAAAAGCACTTGTTCCTTTTCCAGATATATGAATATTGGTCTTCACTGAAAGTCACTTCAGAGGGCCAAGATAAGCAATATATCATCTAAAGCTTGGTGCTGATTTACAGGTAACCTTTAATTGAAAAAATAAAACAAACTGGAAAACAAATCTAATCTATCTGCTGACGTCCCTTCAGAGCAGAATATGAAATACCTTTAGAAGTAACTGGTATTTTGTCAGGCGCTGCACTGGTTTAAGTAAATAGGAATCCAGCCCGAGTTTGTGTTCTAATTTTCTTTGGCATTCCTGGAACACAGAATTCAGATTAAGTAAATTTGGCACCAACTATAAGCAGTTATTCCAACACCATGACTGTGGGATTTGCTGACTTTGAAGATTTCATGTCAAAATGTTGTATGGTGCCTAAAACTACAGAAATTTAATACCAACGTGTAAAATAATATAATGAATGGATCTGCCTTACACTCCTTGTGTACTAGAAACTCCAACACCTACTTTTGTGGGGTTTCATGCAACGGTAGACAGAATACAACAAAATTGTGGGATGTTGAGGAGGATGTTTAGGACAAGGGAGTGTCCCAGACAGTGCCTTCCTTGGTGGAAGAAACAGCTCACCTGGAAGAAGGTGCTTTCGGAGCACTGCCTCCACAGGGACTCCGACCGGGGCTTGTTCTGGCAGTACTTCTCATACATCTGGAAATCCTCTCTCTTGTAAGGGAAGCCAAAAAGTAAGTCACATTCATGAACCCAATCCTGCTGGGCAGCCAAATAAGACAAGCACTCAAACTGTAATTTTGTTTTTATCTCTGCTGCCGACTTCAATATCTAAAAGTGACAGAGTTTGGGTAAAAAAAAGCATGGCTGGGAATCACAGCAGAGTCATGATGGCTGCTCTGCCCCACCTGCTGCTGGCCAGGCACCTCTGCTCCCAGGTTGGCTGTTGGTACTGCAGATCAGGAGCCTCTTACTCAGCTGACACAACTGAGATGTTGCAGAGTGCGACAAATCAGGAGAAACATTGGCCTTTGAGTGTGCTTTACATGTGAAAATGAGTCACTCACCCTGTCTAGGAAACAACATCCCACTCTCTCGGGTGCTCCCAGGCAGTTTTCCAAACTGTGCAGGAAAATTCTGCAAGAGATGGAAGAAGGGACAAAAATGCAGCTGTGAGCAAGGTAAGGTTTGGGTGTTTCATCATTACAGGAAATCAGTCTAATACAAAGGGGAACAGAGCAGCATCATACTTGTTGTGGAAGTCATATATCTCGGACATGTTTCCGAAGAGGACGTCCTTCCTGTTCCTCAGCACGGGAGGCAGGAGGATGAGCATGGCAGGATTATCCATCTCAGCTCTGTAGCCCTGCAGGATGCAAAAAGGGCTCATCACTCAGTTGGTAAGGCCTTGGCTTGGCATCTCCTCGAAGGCAGATGAAAAGGGGACATGAATAGACTTTCAATACCATCTGCTTTGGTTCAAAGTGCAATGTACATTTTATTTGCTTATTTTTGTCTCTTAATCGCTGTCTTTCAGTCCCTGGGCACGTGGGATTGCAATCCAGCAGGGAATGTCCTGGGACAGCTCCTGTGGGGCTGGCAGCACTGCACAGATGCTCCCAATTCAACAAAGGCAAATCTCAGCCACCTTCTCCTTACTATGGCCTGACTGCAGGGTCTCAGAGGAATACTTGTTCAGGAAGAACACATCTGCTGCTATGACCATGGGAAACAGTCAAAGAGTGACAGTGTGTGTGTATAGGGTATGCAGTTACACACAATCTCACCAGAATCAGTGTAGGAGGTGGCTCCTTACAAAGCAGAGACAGCTTGAGATCAAATACCAAAATCAATGGGTTTTTTGCTCTTGTACAAGACTTGCTGAGCAGCAGGGTCTTGCTCTCCTCAGTGCCTCAGGAACTCTGTGCTCTGTGGCTCCAGCTGCCTCTTGAAATCAGGGCTCCCAAACCAGAAGAGACACCACTGCACTACAAATCATTGAGTGGAACTAGGAGACAATGTAAAGCTCCCCAAAGTAACATCCCATCACTGCAAAATCATTCACCAGGTATGGCAAACATCCTAACTGCCTAGGGAAAGGCATGGCCAGAGCTCAGGACCATCACTGCAAAGAGGCCCCCAGCTCAAGTTGGCCCTGCTGGTCACCAAGGACTGCACAGAAGAGAGGCCCTTTTAAAATGAGCAGCAAAAACGTATTCAGTATGTACAGCATATTTTCTTTGGCTTTCCAAATTAATCTCTCACACTCACTATGGCTGGAATCAATATTCCTTATACTAAGCAAGCATTTTGTAGTTGATTGAGGATGCAGTAGATGATAAGTATGTGGAAAATTAGTAATTTGTATTTAAACCCTGCAAGCAGGCTTCCCCCTTGAAAGGAAATACTATTTTCAGAAAACTGTCCATTTTTCTCTATCTAGACTTCATGAGCACAGTAATAAATTTTGTACCTGCCAACTGCTTCATCATAGAGAGTGTGGTTTAACAAAAAACCCAATCAGTGCATGTAATTACCTGCAGTCCAACAGATTTATATCCTGCTTGCTCCTGGGTGAGAGAAATGCAAGGGGGGGGAGCTATTTAACAGCCAACTTGTTTTGGCCATCAGCAAGAGTTATTTTGGAATAAATAAATAAAGTATAAGTGTCTAGAATGGCAGTATGAGAAATTATAATCTGCTTTCTAAAGAAATGTGCTTTATACGGTCTCAAACTTCACAGTATTGAGACAGAATCCTCCCAAGAGTAAAACACAAACTTCTTTTGTCTCCTAAAGGTAAAAGAAATTAGGGAACAGTTAAAAGAAACAGCTTTTTGTACATTTTTCCCAGCACTGCTAAGACTAATTACCAGTGCTTTTGTGTACAAACAGAAGGCTTCTCCCTCATTCTAGATGAAAAGTTCATCCTGACACCAACTGTTCTTGCAGATGCCTCCAACCAAAAAAACCTAGGGAGAAAACTTGAACATTTATGACTAGCTTGGGATCTGACAGTCTGGTAGAAACCTGCCCCATCACATATTTGCTTAGTTTGACAGAGTGGCAGGTGCTCTTTTGTACAAGTCACTGCGGAACCATAAGGAACAACCTGGAGAAGTCACTCACCGTCAGAACAGTGAAGAGTTCCTCTACATACACTCTCTCAGTTTCTATAAGCTCATTTATAACATGTCTAAAATAAAGAAAAAATAGAAGCATATCATTTTTATGTCTATATAAAACGACCATATAATCAGTGCAGTTCAAGGAACCAAAAACACAGGGTCATCTCCTTAACAACCAACACGTAAAACTTCAAGAGATGACACCTAGGTAAGGTTGGAGGATCTCAGGGGTGGAGCAAGGACTGGCCAGAAATAAACATCATTTTGAGGGATGTAAACGAGATGAAATCTTACCCTTTTAGTATATCTAAGCTGTCATCACTGTCTGAAATAAAATACTGCAAGGAATTCCGTTTTTCCTGATAGTCGTGCATTACTTCGATCTGGAAGAGAAATGGGATACACTGGGAAGAGCTGCCAGAAGGGCACTGCAGGGGCTGGACAAGCCCAGTCCCTGATGTCAGCATGGGAACTCTTTGGGGAAGGATGAAATATGCTTCCTTTTAAGAAATCCTTGTGTAGGAAACCTTAAAAGGGCACAGCATATAATGGGTGGCCAAATACTCCCAGAAATTACTCTGCTACATAAAATCTGAAAATACTGGCAACATAATTCATTAGTGCAGAGACCAGAGAAGAGTTTCCACAGGGGAAATATCTGTGGATGGGGAGATTTCCTAATACACATCTCTGTTATGAAAAGAACAGGTTCAGGGAATAACACACAGAAAATCGATATCTGTGACTTGGAAAATCAATCCAAGATAGATCTCAGGTGTTGGACTAATCCAACAAAACCACATGGATATAAGAGGGTTTGGGTTTGTTTAAATATTTTTTAAAGGCAAAAAAAAAAAAAAGAAAAGGAGAAAAGAAGAAGAGCATCTCCAACTCCAAAGTACAATCGATTTTTAAAGGAGTTTTAGTTTTTCAGTGTATGAAACTCACTCAGATTTCATGAATAATTTTTACCTTGCGAGAACTCGGAGTTTTTCTTGATGTTTTCTTCCCAGGGAGAGAAAGATCAAATGAAAATTTCAAACTGGAATTAAAATCCACACCTTGTGTAGAAAAAAACCACAATTACATCATGTACATCTGTAGCGAAGGAGATGGTTCAGACAGAAACTAATAAGTCACAAAGAAAAATGTAATACATTTTAAGAATGAAAATAGTTACCTCATACCAATAGCAAAATAAAGAGTATTTATCCCAAACAATACTAATATTGATTATCACACATCACAAGGTCATAAAGGCCATAAAGTAAAAAGTAATCAGAAAAAAACCCAGAATGTCCATTAAGTGAACACAGTAATCAAAACCTATCAAATTCCCTGAAGCCTGAGCAGATGATAAAAGCAAAAACAGTAAAAGCAAATAAACTACAAAAAGGAACATCGCCTACTCATATCAGCCCTTCCAGAGACAGAAAGAAGTGAGGACTTGCCAGTGGTCCTGCTTAGAGACTGCCACTGGGAGGAAGGGAACACAGATATGAAGCCAGATGGGAGAGGGACACCAGCTTCTGTTGCAAGAGTGACTTTACTCTGGCACTTGGGCTCCGACACAGCCTGTTGTACCACTTCTGTATATCTCACTACACTTCATGGCTCGTCACAGGATAGATTTACTCTTTCCCCTCCCTAAAAATTGTTTAAAAATTAGAACCACATTTCTCAGATAGGCTTCAAATCCAGGGCAAAGATAAAAGAAAAAAAGGGTGTGTGTGTGGGGGTGATGCAGAAATATAAGAAAGAAAGAGAAAGAGGACAAAAGTGATGTGCTCAGAGTTGGTTTGGTTTCAGTCCACACCATAAAACCCATCCATCTCAAAGCTCTTCCGATGGAGCCCAGCATGTGCCTTTGACAGTGCACATCATGCCAGCAGGCCTGCAGCATTTTGATGTTTGGTATCAAACAGAGGCCTTATTAAAAAGCTGTCTTGTCATGATCTATCCAAAGAGGAGTCTTTTGTCTTTCCCCTCTTGCTGGCTATGCTCATTCCAACACACCTGATCATCGCTTTCAGGAAGAGGATTAATGGAGGATTCCTATGCTTTGCAGGTGACTGAGTGCCTTTGCTGGAAAAATGTGCATCCCATAAAGGCATGAAATAAGTCCAGCTGAGTGATGATGGTCTCACAACATCCCACAGGGGTGGCCACCCATTTACCCCACCCTTTAAGTCAATAATTTGTCTTTAACCCTTTCCTGTTTCTAGAAAGCTGGAAAAACTGAGTTAGGTAAAGAGGACAGTGCTCTAGTTTAAAGACTCATAGCTTTTTTCCTGATTGAGGAAAGGGCTTCAGAAGGCAGTGTGGACTAGAGAAGGTGGCATCAGCCTAGGAAGAGAAAATCTGGGATTTGCTGCACTGGCCTGCATCTTGAGTAGCTTAGTTCCTCTCACTGCACCTAGCTTCATTCCCATTCCTTCACTAGCTTGGCTATTTACATTAGTCATTCCCTGAACTGAAGCTGCTTTTACAGTTGTATGACACCTGCTAAAATTCACCATAACCAATATTTGTTAATTCATCATAAAAATTTTGTGTTAAAACACAAATGTTCAATTACTTTTATGTAGTCAGATCACTGAATTCAATATACCCACATAACTTAGCATGTCCCTGGTTTAAAATGTATGGACAGTACTTTGGAATCTCTTTTAATTCTGTCTGATACATACAGGGCTGCCAAGGGTGAAGGTTTTAATGTCATCATTTAAAGCTAACATGGTGTCACATCCCATTATCAAAATTAGGGCAGAATATTCAGTGATCTCAGTTGAATGAGAATCTGTACCTTTATGGGCATTAATTATTCCACAATTGGGATTTAGGGAAGATACCCTCAAGGAATCAAAGAGAGTTAAGCTCCAGCTCATTTCTGTTCATGAGATTTGAGCTCTTCATTTCTCCAAGCTCTTTTGCAAACATCACTCTAACTTTATGTCAGTTCCAGCTCAAGACAGCCACAGAGAACAGGCATGCTAATAAATTTATAAATCTTGACCTTTTTTTCCTGTAGTACTTAATTCACCAGTTTCCAGCCCAGCAGTATGCTAGGAAAGCAGAACTGGAGGTATGCACTACTTATGGATCTTTTTTCACCAAGTAGGATGTGAAAATACTTAAGAAGCAACCAGCCCCATTCTTCACCCAAGTGTGAGAAGTTTGACACAAAAATCGGAAAGATAATAAATCATCTGATATATATTTAAGACTATACAACAACTCTATAACCACCAGCAAGGTTCAGCTGGTTTCTCAAAACCATCCTGAGCCCTACTCTTCCCGTCTCAAAGCAAAATTATAGCCGAAGATACCATAAACTCAAAATATTTTACCATGTTTAGGCGAAAATAATGGTGATTTTGATCTGGGTGGATTTTCTGGCCGAGGAGCCACCAGCTGGACGGGCCGCACGTGTTTATCCAACAGCTTCTTGAAGCAGGACTGCCGATTCTCAAACATGCTCCGAACGTTCTCAAGCTTGACCTGCACCGACTGGATCTGGCACTGCAGAGAGTGAAGAAGACTCTTGTGATCAAATAAACACCATTATTTTGCACTTTGACCCAAACCAGAGAATTATAAAGGTGACAACACCCCGTCACAGTCCAACCTTGCTTTTTACTTGTGTAAGGAACTAGAGGGGTTGCTTACCTTCAACTCAGATGTTAAGACTGACTCGAAATCGTAATGTAGGGCTTGGGGATCATAGTTTAAGTAGGCTGAAGAGCTTTCAAGAAATCTTTCTATGTCTTGGAGAGCTTTCTGAGCGCCTTCTTTAGACTGGCACTTATCCATTTGCTGGTTGGCAAGCAGGTAGGCACCTTCGTCACAGCACTGCAGAGCCTGGTAACAGCACAGGGCAAGCACAGGGAGCCAGACTGTCAGCAGCACCCCTACTACAGCAAAGTTCCCATGAGGAATGTCATTTACTGGATCTCTATTTTCAACGTGGAGCTACCTAGCACTCCTAAAGACCTCAGCAGTTACTGTGGTTTCATTAGAAAGTAGAAAGACCACATTTTTTCTGGAGGGTGATTGCAGTCCTCAACATACCCAGCCAAGTTATGCTCCCACTTGTACCTGGATAAAAACAGTGGTATAACAGACACAGAAGCACTATTCAGTGCATAGTTGAACCAAATGATAAGCAGATCTTTATTTATCTAGCTCAGAAAGCTGAAGTGGGCACTGTGGAGTTTACAACAAGACTGGCAGATTTCTTGAGATAAATAAAAGCCTGGCTCTGTGCAGACCTCAACTGAGAGGAATGATCAAAAGTAATTGCATTCATGTTTTTAAAAATAATAAAGATTTTAAATTGCAGTCTAAAGTTCAACACTTGACATGCACAGGCAACAGGTGAACGCCAGGCTGGGGTTCAGATGGCACTCACACACTGTGGTGTGCACAGGTGGGCGAGGATGCTCCAGCCAAGAACAACAGAGAATCTCCAATGCTGTGAACAGGAAGAGAGACCATGGAGAGCAGTACCATGTTGTGCTCCAGCAAAGCCCACAGGCTAGACCCCTGACACCAACCAGGACTGCAAGGAGCCCAGGAGAGGCTACTGCTGCACAGCTCAGAGGCTGTCAAGGAACTGTCTGTCCCCACAGACCAGTGCAACACTGAAGTGGAGCACACAGAGAGAAAAAACAAGTTCTCCAGTTCCCCGAAACAGTGAAAGGGAACAGGGTCAAACTTCACTGTTTCTCTTAATGGCCTCAAGCATATTACAGCCGTGTGCCTTCTGGCCTAATTACTGTGAATTTCCCTAAATGAATATTTGATGCTGATTAAGATATCAAGGAGTGTTGGAACCACATGACTCCACTTCCATGCTAGCACACAGCAGCTGTGCCTATCTACCAATCTGTCACTTTATTTTACACCGAGCTATGTTCATTCTTAATAAATCACTCAGAAAAAAAGGGCTGGAGTTTATCTGAAAGCATTACCTCTACTTCACTGGGTACAAAAACCTCCAAAGTCAATTAATACATGGATGCAGCATGAAAGCACAACCAAGAGCAGCAGCTGAACTTTGGTGTTCTGAATTGCCCTCCAGAGACACCCATATCCTTCTGCTGAGTTCACAGCACAAGTAGATTCCTGTTTGCTAACTTCCCCAGCTAAGTGAGGGGTGAGGCACTCCTCCAGCCTTTAGGGAACACTTTCCTACCATTAACTGAAGCAAAGCTGCAAATTTCAGGTGCTTCCAGCTAAGAGGTAGAGAGGATAACTCCAAGGAGAAGCTAATTATCTGCTTCTCAGAGCACTGTGTCTCTGAACTCTACCTGCTGAAGCCGGGTATGAAGATCCAAGGTCTTCTGCAGTCGCATCTGCTTCCTTTTGATCTCATCAGACAAGACATCAGAATGGTGCCGCAGCTCATTGCATTGCTGGCAGATTAAGTTGAGTGCGTAGTGATGATTTGCTGCTAGCTGGTGTCCATGCAGTATCACCACCTGAGCCTTCCCTATCAGATCCTTCAGTGAAAGGAAGAGAATGGATTGCACATTTACTGAAATAATGTCAAAAGACCTACATATAACAACATGAACTTTCTTTTTTTACCACATTTCAGGCACACATGGAGATAAAGGCCACTAGGAGTAGACAGAATGGGTTAGTTACGCAGGATAAAAGGGCACCCATCCTCTCGGGAAAAAAAACTTTTGTTATCCATAAAGAGGATGAAGAAGAAAACAGATTTCTCCAAACTAGCAATGCTGTGAGTGCCTGCTGTCTCCAGGAACCATGCCCTGAATAAAATGCAGCTGATTCCCAGTTTAGGCACACTACACTCACAAGCATCAAAGAGAATTGGAGCAGTTTAGGGTGAAAACAAACCAGGCCCTTTGTAGCAGATCTTGATGCACACACTATCTTTTCTGTACACCTTGGTCAGTGTAATGGTTCTGGTTTCTCCAGGGCTGGTTTTCTGCTGAGACTGCTTCCCTGCTGCACCCTGCCTGCCTGACCTTTTGTTTCTCCTCCCTCTCTTCACAAACACTTCTTCCAAACGGACAAGAAGCTTTAGACCTTTCCCTAAGACTCTTATTTGCTCATTTTCTATGTCCAGATCCCTCAGGATTTCTCTGCTGACCCTGCCCCATGTGCCAAGCACATCCCTTTGCAAAAGTCACATCCTCAGTTGGGATCCTGTGAATCATCACTCTTCTTTCCCCTACATCTCTTAGTCTTCACCCATATGTTAAGTCAGAGACACATAAGGATAGCAAGTTCTTTTTGCCTCTCCATGTGCCTGGTAACAAGTCTCTATTAGCACAGCTAAAGCACTTAAAATACAAATCATTTTTCTTCCAGCTCATTAAATCCCACGCCTCCCCCATGTTCAGACATTTATCTGTTCCGGATTTTCATGGTGGCTCAGCAATTTATTTTAACTATGATAATTAAATACCCCGTTTCTGGCTTTCAGAGTGATCACAGCACCGCTGCACAGAGCAAAGACGTGAAATCGATCCTTCCATACAGCCACTTGCCAACAAATTACACCAGAACCAGGTAACTTCAGGAAACACCTCCTACCACAAACACAGAATGTGGCTCTTGTGTTTCATTAGTGCCTCTTTCTGTGTAAGATTATCTCACCTGAGCCATACCATCAAAATGATCCAAGTCCTTGAGCCTCTGCTTCACTTGGGCAACACTGTCCCCAGTGTCGGGAAGCTCTGCTTGCTGACCCATTAAAAATTCAATGGCATTCTTGACCTAGACACAAAGAAGAAGACTGCTGCAAAGGGATACAAAGCACAGGCAGAAAATCATTCTGAGACCAAAATTAATCACACTTTAGCTAAGATTGCTAAATCCAATAATAAAACTAATGTCCAAGAACTAATTTCTAAATTCAGAGATGCTTCTATCAGCAAAATCCATGCGACTGCAGGGTAGGGATACCTAAATTAACTCTAAATGAGGAAGCACAGTGGTCTCCCCAAGCTAGCTAGGCCTGCCAGAGTCAAGGAAAAGCAGTATAAATTAAATACTCCCAAAATAAAAAGCACAAAACTTCTCTCCCCTCCATTTCATCTCCAACTCTCCCTTCTGCCAGTGGAATTGCATCTGGTCATACCTCTTGAAAACTTTGCTCAAACTTCCACAGCTGCAAATATTGTTCCATTTTTAACTGGTGTTTTTCCCAGAAGCCATCAAAAGCAGTCTCCATCTCACGCAGCTGACCAAGTAACCTTGAGCACAGAAAAAGGACAATATTGGAACAATTTGTAAACAGAGGACAAGCAGAGATGGACAAGCTGTAGAGATCACCTTTTCATGTCTTCTGGACCCAAGGTCTCTGAAGAAGACAACAGACATGTATATATGACTTGAGAAGATATCAGAGAGAATTTTAATGAAATCATCACTGCAGATGACAGCACCTGTGTGAACCAATTGTTGCTATCTCCATTTATCTGAGTAATACCTGGGAGCCTGGCACTGAAGAACCCTGCAATTGCTCCACAGCCTCATTGTAACAGTGGGGGTAAAAATCAGAGCAGGTCTAAACCAACTGATAGAAGTCAAACAGCAACTTAACAGGCTTGGAACAAAATTCTGGTGTCTTTGGTAGATGACCTAAACAACACATCTACACCTAAATAACTTGAATGTTTCCACTGAAAAATCAGGGAAATAAGAAACACAGTGCACTTACCGATTCACAGTCTCCCAGTCTCCAGGCCTCTCATGGTGCTGGTCCTGGCTGCATTCCTCAGTGTCAGGCTCTTCAAAACTGCTCAAAAGCAAGTTTCCCTCTTTTGTGACTGCTGTAATATCTTCCTGTATAACACAAAACATTTCTGATTCAGGCTACTTATTTTGAGGTAAGGATAAGTAATTTTGTGTTTCTCCTGCCTTAGTTTCCCTGTGTGAAATGAAGCACCAGTATCTGTCAGACCAAAGGACTCCCAGAAGATGTTTTAGTTCCTTTAACATGGAATTAGCCCCTGGAGCTGCAGGAGGCCACAAAATTATTCGAGAGGCAAGAGGACAGCACTGCCATGGCTCTCTCCTGATGAGCAGGTGGGGGTTGTATGAGACATCTATCCACAAGTTCAAGTCTTCAAGCAAGTAGGCTGGGCTTCTCCATCGAGGTCATGACAGCAGGTTGTAGAAAGAGCACCCCACTGTGGGACAAAGACTGAGACCACATGGCATCATCATTTACTACAACCTCTACATACAAAATCAACACTTCCAATGTAACACCCACTCGCAGACAATTTAAACCCTTGGTGTGTTCATTAGCATCAGCTGAGGTGCTTTGTGCTTTGCTGGGCTCAGCCCCAAAGCAAACAGGTGTTTAGTCAATTATTTTCAGGAAAAAGACACCAAACACAGAGATGAGAAAGAAAATGCATGTAGATGATGAACAGAGTCAGAAGAGGCCCTGAAGGAGGACCTGTGTATGGCCCCACTGGACAGGCAGGTACTGGAGGAGTAAGAGCACATCCTAAGAGATAGTCAAGTCTCCATTGCAAGAGAAACAACAGCAAAATGACTTCAGGGAGAAGATACAGAAAACTCAGACTTGCTTAAATGTCTGCCTGCCCCTGATAACTCATGGCAAGCTAAACATAACAGCATCTTCAGTGCAGCAGCCCAGGAAAACAACACAGCTGCAGGAGCGTTTCCTCTACCACATGCAGTCGGCTGCTGGTTTGCAACCCTATCACTAAAACGTCCTGGAAGATGACTGCAAGGCAAAAACCCTATCCCCTTTTGATACTACCATATCCAGGAGACTCAGAAGGGAAGAGGAATTATGCAGCATGCTTTAGTCTGCAGGTGGCTGTTATTTCATCCTCTTACATCTCAGTCTCCAGAGCCCTGCATTCGTCTTTTGATTCAAAGCTGTTCATTATCCACAAGGCAAAGGAGCCTGACTGTCAAACAGGTGTTAACTTGACTTTTTCCTGTTCAGTATATCAAAGAGGTTAGTTTCTTAGTTACTTTGTTTAATTAGTTTCTGTCATTTTTTTATTGTGCCTGCAACCAGCTTCTGTTCAGTATCACAGCTACACAAATTATTCTGATCAACTCATTATTTGAATTCAGCAATCAGCTGTACCAATCCTGGGGTTGTCATGAGAGAGATAAGGATCCAGTGTCTTGCTGTCACCACAATCTGTGCACAGTTTCTCATCTGCTTTCATCTTTCATGGTCTTAGAAGGAACATAAAAAAGCCAACAGACCTCATTTCAGTCAAAAGCCAACAGGTGGTTTTGATATTTGAAATTAATAGATGAGGAATTGAAAGCAAGAGATGCCTTGTACTTAATGATGCTGTGCTTTGTATGCAAATGAAAACACATTACATGTTTTATTTCTCCACAGGGGCAAGTGGGTATTACTGGCTGGTTTATACACAGAAATACATCGTGTAGTTGATATTTGCCCCCTGCACTTTGGCTACAAAGTCCTCAGCATGAAACTTAAGTCAGTAAGTCATACTGCAATAGATGTAGCTGCTGTTTCGTACTATTCTCCTCATTTTCAAAGAAGAAATAAAGGCCCATTGGCAGTATCTATAATGATACTCCCTATATGTGCACACATGCATTTATGCCTACACACAGAACACTTTGGATGTCATTTTCAGTATTTCTTACAGACAGATTTCTGGGAACTCGCTGTCAGGTGAATGACAAATGATTATTAATGAAAACAGATGCACTTCTTTGACTTTGGTAAATAAAACCTGTCAGAAAGCAAAAGACCTCATTCTTCAGCCACACAGAATGACTATTAACACAGGAATCATTTCTGAAGTGAGGGTTTGGGGACACACCCATATTGCTCCCTGAAAGATGCAGGAGCACCAAAGACAACAGCTTGATAAAGCAGCACCTAGTTGCACTAAAGCTTCCACTGACTTCTTTAATAATATTAATAACAATCAAAAATAGTTGAAAAAAAATTAAAATATTAATGAAACAAATGTTGTTCAGGCAAAAGATGAAGGCTCACATGAAGACAGGGATTGTGTTGTGAATGTCTGTACCATGTGCTCACACAAAATCTTCATCTTGGATGCTCTCCAGCACAGTTCCCTTAAGTCCCCTCAGAGAAGCTGCATCAGGCAGAGGGACCTGGGGACAAACCATCCCTCCAGACCTGCTGATGAGCTTTGTGTGCAGCTTTTTGCAGCCACAAGGGTGAAGCAGAGGGGAACCCAACTGAGGGCATGAACATGCAGGTGACAAAGCCTCCCACCACCCTCCTGGCAGCGAGATGTGCTGAGCGCATGGGAGGAGCAGGCTACAGACACCGACTGCTGCAGCCAGCAAGGAGGCGGCAGCTGAGACAGTTTGCTGGATGCTGGCAGGGTAACTCGCTCAAGTGGATGGCAAATGTATGGGCAACACACAGAAATAGTCATGCTGTGTTCTGTTTTGTCTGTCAACACGTATACATGCATGGGAGGGAAGGAGGAGTGTGCAAAACAAACAGGCAAAACAAACAGGCAAACACCAGAAATCCCATCTTGCTGTGCAAACAGCAGAGCTGCTGGTGAGACACACCTTGAGCTGGTAGTACTTCTCCGTGCGCAGGGCCAGGATGCGCTCGATGGAATACATGTCGTCGGGCAGCTCGGTCTCTGCCAGCTCCATGCCAAAGGACTGTAACATCTGTGCAATTTCCTTCACGGTTAGTGCAAAACTCTCTATGGCCTGGTGGGAGACGATAATTGCAATCAGCCTGGGATTCAGGGTATTCCTACAGCTCATTAAGAGTGTGTGAGGAGCCAAGGCTGAGATGTGCAAGGGAGCCCAACAACTTGCTCGGAGAGAGGTGGGTGGGATGTCCATGGTAGACAGAGTGGACATCCCACGCTTGGCCAGGTGGCTTGCAGTGCAGACTGAATCTGCCATAGGACTGTATTGGGCAGAGATACTTCATGCTTTGCTTTCTGCTGTTATTGTACACTGAGATTGTTCCTACCACATATTGGAGATCTACAGCAGAAGCCACCCTAAGATCCATCTCACATATTCCTGTAATTCCTATTCTATTATCCTTCTCCTCTGATTAACTCACACAAGGAACTACCACCAGGCAGTGGGGTTTTGGAGTTGTATTCGGCTTCCTGGTGATGGATGTTTCCGTTTTTGCAAGCCCAAATGGTGGGTTACAGGCAGTCTGGCACCACAACCACCTCATCTGCAGATGAGGGACAAGGGATGGAGCTAAGCAGGGTGCCAGAGACAAACTGGAGAGAGTGGGGTGGAAATAAGTGCTGTTGGTAGCTCCCCAGCACTTCCCTGCCAGCCAGTGGGAGCTCTGGACAGCAGATGGGTCCCACACCAGTGGACAAGGTGGGGGTCTCACACCTGGCTTGGCGCTCCAGCTCCGATTTTGAGAACAGAGTAATCATAGAATCATGGAACCATTTAGGTTGGAAAACAAACTCAAATGTAACTGATTGCAGTTATATATTTCTTTTAAAAGCATTTATTTTCCATGGAAATTTCAGGAAATGTTTCATGACCACTCTACAAGGGAATTTTGAGAGCAGTTTTTCAGATGGGACGTCTACCGTGGGCAGCTATGGTGTAGAAACTACGTTTTTCTTACATTAAAATGTTTTGTCATTCATTTTGTCATTTTTGTCTCCAAGTGTGAGAGTCATG